TGTGAAACACACCTGGTGGGCTAATAGAGGTCAAACGTACAAGCAGCAGCATGAGAGTGAGGGGATGTGGCAGTCAAAGACAAAGCAGCATCTCGCCTCTCGCTGCAGGTTAATGAAATGCCTGCTGCTAAGTGTTACAGAGGATGAGACCGGCGCAGCCATGTGACAGCGTTGTATCACTGTCACAGAGAGAGCAATCATAACATTCCTCTCCTCCCACTCCAAAAGGTTCTTTTAAATTCCCTCGGCAGCAGAATGCTTCAGGGGGTGAAACACACTGAATCTCCAGACGATAATGGGCCAACTATCAGTTACAACACTCACCTGTAATCATTGGCCGGCATTAAAAGCATCTTTTTTTTCTTCCCCCCCTTCTGCATGCTTGACTGTGAATGCTTTTGAAATGGGTATAATGTCATCTGTGCCGCAGATATCTTCTGCTTTTGTGCATCTATCAGAGAAGTGAATGGTGGAGCCTATCGGTTACTCTCTGGAGGTGATGTTCGCTCTCTACAACTATGCTACAAACACATGAAGGCTATAATGTGCTGCCCGTTCCTGCATTATCTCCATTTTCAGGGTTATTTTGATTTCTTTTAGAAAAACATTTAAGTTTGTGCCAACTTTCTTATTTTTTTTTTCCTTGAGCTTAATTTATAATCAAGCTGTAGTCGTGGTAAGAAATTAACATTTCCAAGTGTTCTAGGAAGCAACATTAAGACTATGTTGGGAAATTTAAACCAGAATAAGAGTAAAGCTTCAAATGAACTTCTCTTTATTATAACTGACTTATTCAATAAAGTTGAGATACAAACAGAGAAATCACGTCAAAGTAACTGATCGAAGTCATGAGACATAAAATTTCCATTACAGATGTATCACTTTGACGTTATCTTCTAAGATTTTAAAGTTTGTATTATTTGACTGTGATGTGTGTCAGATTATCCGCCCGGCTGTCCGTCTGTATTACCCTGTTCATTTTCACACTGACAGTTTGAAGAATAAAGACACAGGCTTTAAATACATCGCCCCACTGAAAAAAGGAATTCTTCCCCAGATGTGCAACTGATAATGTCAGCCTAATCTTTTAAAGCAACAGTATCAACTTTACTATGTATGTATTAGAAGAAGAAAAAAGGAATGACAGTCGCGGATTAGGTTTTAAAAAAATCAGCTTTAAGGTTGAGGTTAAATCTCATTTCTAAACCTTATTTTGTTTTATGAGAAAATGACATGAGAAGAAATGCCTTGGTCCTGAAAATCAAATTATGAAGGTGCGACTTTTTCAGGTTGAAACAGAAATTATATATAAACATGGAAGTACAAATATTGGTCACAGATATGAAGAAGCCATTTGAGTAATTATAGAGGAAGATGAAATGGGCCAGTTAGTGTACTCTGTCCCACTTTATCAGGCATCGCCAGCATTGTCCACAGGGAGTTAACTTTTAGACTGTTTACTGGCTCAAAGGCCAGGCATGCATCTGAAGCCACATAGGCAAGATAATGCATCCCGGGCTACAAAAGCGGCCAAATCACTGTGCATTAAGACTGGACACACAATAGACAACAATGGCTTGCATAAACACTATTTAGAACTATTCACATGGCATTGAAGAGATGGGCGTCGACTCACTATTGCGGCAAAGCCGGCACATTGTGCCGAGGTGAAAAGAAGTCTAATGAACAGGAAGCCTTATTTGAGCGAGCTGACAGTAACCATACAACAGCCGCTTTGTGTGCTTGCCACCAACCCTGTGGGTCTCTACATTAGGAGAAATGATGAGAAAGTAACCCGAAAAGACACAGTGGGCCCTTGGACCCACGTAAATGCAGGCAGACAATAATGGGGGGACACAAGCTGTCCCCACCTTTACCCAAAAGCTGCACGTTTACATGCACAGAACATCAACCGCTCTCATGGCCGAGCATAAAAGCCCCCTGGCCAGATGGAACTTTGAAGTGCATCTGGGTTAGTTTACCACCAAAGAGTGCAATTTTAGTGCAGCTGCAGTAAAAATATATGTCATACATTTTAAATTATATCATACTCTGCAGGGGAAGTTTGAAATTCTCAAGTTTGATGAAGTAGACCCGCCCCCCTCCACACACACACACATATTCGCACTCACATTGCCCCCTGCCTCAAGCTTCATCAATCTTCCACAAAGGGATGACATCACCAATAAGCACGGCCTTTTGTATCTTTAAGCAATAAGCCTTATTTACTGATGAGATAAGCCCCGTGCCATTGTCTCAGCCTGCACTTTTCTTCTTTCTCTCGCAGTTGAGGAATCAAACAGCACTTTTGGAAGGTGACAGAGCATGCCCGGGATTTAAGGCTAAAGCATTCAAAGAGGTTTCCTGTTCGGTGGCTTTTCAAAGGAACATTTTAGCTAATTTAGTTCAAAGTATCAGGCGCAGGTAAAAAAAAAAAAAATCTACTGAAGTTTTGTTTTTAACACAATGTTCTGAAATCAATACATGCTCTTTTTTAAAATAACAAATGGATGTTATTGTGAATGAGTGAAATGATCGGGTGGTTTTTAAATACCACACTGCACTACAGCTTGAAACAAACCACAGCATGGAGAGTTTATGAAGCATGCATTACACATGTGACCCATAATTACTGTTTGTAGCAGTGTTAGTGGGTCGGTCTAAGTCCAGTCGGAGTTGGTCACTAAACTGCTGAGGCACCATGATGAAGTGTGGCTTATTAGAGCTAACATGCTCATGCTGGGAAGTTGGTTGAACTTCTCACAGCTGTTTCTGTCGGGTTTCTGGAAGTTGTAAAAATCTCTAATCAGTTGGAAATTTGCTAGTTTTTCTACTTTGCAAAGTGTGACAGGAAAAAGTCGTTCTAACTAGGTTGTTGCAACAATTTAAGATACATAGTGTCAACATATTTCAAAATTGAGGACCTATTTTTAACAAGATAAAAAGCCATTTTCTAACACACTACATCCACTGTCAGCACATGCATCTTAAAAAAACAACATGCCATTTGTTGTTTGTTTATCTGAGCTCCACATAGAGTCATGTCAGGCCTTGGGAACTTGTCAGATATTCAGTTTGTAGTCACTTTAGAAAAGGCTGAGCGCAGAGTCTCTGGGGAATTGCTCCAACCCCCCCACCCCTCCAACCCACCCCATGTCAGCAGCAAGGAACAAAGCCGCCATAGTCAATTCTCCTAATTTCACTGCAGCCTGTCGAAATCCTGTTCTCCCTTTTCTCCTTCTCTTCAACAAGTACTTTATGCCGGGATCAGTCAGGTCTGAGTCGCCCACAAAAACCTGAGGCTCCTGCTTCATCGTCTTTCAGCGCCGAGTTTGACACTCCCCAACTCCCTGCCATTCAGGCGCCTGCACCGTGCAATTTGTTTCCATTTGTCAAACAGCGGTATCCGTCACTAAAGAAAATGCTGGCACAACAGAAAGTTTGCGGAAAACATTGTCTCCTCCAACCCAAAAATGGGCCTTCAGACTACTTATTTATGGGCTTGTAACAAAACCACCTTAAACAATTTACACCTCTTTCACTTGTTATGGATACTTGTTACATTATTCTTCCCTAAACTGACAATAAAACATCTGAATACAACATGTATCACATCCTCCAATCAGCACCATCACTTCTTAAAGTGCGGATGCATCATCTCATTCTCTGTCTCCACATTGTGCTGACTCTTTTTTTTTTTTTTTTTTTCTTTGGGATTAAACTTCATTGTGTGGACAGCCAGGTTTCTCACACATTTATTTATTCAAGCTATATCAGCACTATGTTGACAGCCTTTCTATTTGCACACCTATTCAGATATGTCTTAAAATGGCGCTATTATCCGGCGACGCAGGAAGGAACCCGCTTAATAATACTTATTGTGCAAACTTTGTTGTCACCATTCTTGTGCTGGCTGTTATCGACGGGAGAGGAGAGAGGATATATGCTGACTCTGATGTAGATAGTGCCATGAGTATTGCTATTGTGGCAGTTGCCGTGTGGTGCAGTCCCTGATAGGGTTTGGGATGCTGTCAATGCTGTGTCAGGTGCATTAGCACCTCAGAGACTCATGATGCTCCAGCTGCTATGAGCCCGTGTCTCCCTGGGCCCCTGGCCGCCAGCCTGACACCCGACACAAAGTAATCACAGATCACAGCCTTTAATCACTGAAACAAGCACTCCAGAGGACCCCACTGTCAATATCCCACTCTCTCATTATCTGTTTGGATTGCACATCCACACTGTCAGATAAACAGAGTGGAAAATTAAGATTAAAAATATGGTAATTTCATTTCAGGCAGCAGGCTCCTCTCACTGGCCCATTATGCTATTGATTACCTCTGAATTCAATTTCTCTTTTCAATGTAAACTTTAATCTATTCGCGAGCCAACAATTCAACTCCCCTGGGGCTATTTGAGAGTAAGTAACCATTTAATATGACGCTGGCTGCAGATTCACTGGCTTTAATGAATTGTGTAAATCACTCAGCTTTTAAAGGAACTGGTGTCCTGCAGTTCACGACCTAAATCTGGCCATGGTTAAATACCGTCTTTTATGCCGAGCTAAGTGTTTTCACTGACAGCCATCTATGAATGTGTAATCTGCTCTCGTCTCCATAAAGGCAAATTAAACAGCTCTTTCTAATTGAGCTGGTGATGACAAAATTACATTTTAATTGGGACTTAATCGCTATATTGCATTCCCAACATGCAGAAATAATAGAGTGTAGAGCTGCATTCATTTAACCAGCATGAAACTGAATGTAAAAATCACTTGACTCAACATAATAAACACGGGGTTGTTTTCCTTAACCACGTACCAATTTGTAGAATCGAGTGGTTGTAACCGCTGACCTGAAGCAAACACACCATTCGGACAGTTGAACATAGGATGAGCAGCAGCAGGAGGAAATGGTTAGTGAGTCAGTTTCATGAGACAGGACAATGTTTAGAACACATAATGACGACAGTAATGAAAGATTTTACAAATGCTGGTTTGTTTTATTTAAATTAAAGTGTTCGTTCTAATTCTAGGTAACTAGTCTACAAAGTGCAAACATCATGAAAACATCGCTTTCAGTTCAAGTCTATACATATAAAGCCCATTGACAAATGATAAATACATGCTTATAGATATTCAAACTAAACTTTTCATCGCATGATGTAAAATGTGCTTTTTGTTTTTAAAGCATTTACAGACTACACTTTAAAAAGAGTAAAGAGAGATAGATCATGTTACACTCAAGAGTGATTTGAAAGGCAACACACTCTTCTGTTTCTCATTACCATTACCAAGTTACATTCAAACTCTACTACTCCCTCCTGATAAGAGCTGAGGTAGACATAAAACCACTGTCATCAAAGTGCTGGAAAATGACTCAATTAAAACAGTGCAATCATGAAAAATCCATCAATCCATAGTCTAATTCAGGCACAATAATTAATGAAAACATTGTTGTCTATTCTCAGCTTCTTCTCGTCTATTTTTGAGCTTTTTCCAAATAATAAAAAGACCACCAGTCCTTCTTTGGAACAATGCTGGCTGTGAAAAAACATAATTCACACCAACAGTAATTTATCGCAGCTTGCTAAACAGGTCTAATATGTGCACTCTTCTGAGTAACAATGGGAGATTGAAGCTACCCAAGAGGCCTGAGCACTCATACATAAACATAGCATGGTGTAATCAATAAACAGCCAATGCAGTAATATGCTGTCAATAAAGGCACATCCTGCCTCCGATCATTCTGCTGCACACCGTAGGACTATGCCAGTCGTATTGAGCACACACTGCACTCGGCCTGCTGGGAGTTTAAAGACATTTTAATACACAGAGAGGAGTCTAAGTACATGTGGTAAAAAGCTTTGGTCAGCAAGGGGCCGCAGCGACTCTCCAAAGTGTCAAAGAGACGTCTCAAAGATGACACGGATGTCCTTGGCACAGCTTACGTCTGTCACCCGCTTTTTGTTCATGTAAACCTGGAAGTGTATCAGGGAGGCAGTGTCACAGAACACAAGCACACAGTCTGAGCTAATCTAAGCTAGGATCTGCTAAGGTGTGATTTATGACAGGTGCAGTCAGTGCTGGCGGATGGGGATTTGTCGCTCGCTGAAGCATGCAAAAGTGGCTTATTTAAGCCTCAGAAACAACTGTGAAATTCAAGGGATGTTATCGGAGATAATCTGAAATATTATTGGTGTTATTTTAACAAATGTTTCTTTTTTTTTTCAACACAAAGAGAGACTGACAGAAGCACGATTTCAATAAGAGAAAGTTGGTGAAAAACGGGTGAAAGCAGGTCGGCCCTCGACGCGGCCCTTCACTGTCCGCTCTGAGATTCTCTTACAACACGTACAAAGGTGCTAGTGGTTGATATCAGATTATTGAATGTATTTAAACCTTGACTGACAACTATAGAAACTTGACACACAACATGTGGACCATCTCAGTTTAATTTAATAAGTGGTGCTAGACAGTTATGGATGCTGAAGTAATCTGATCTAAGGAGAGCACCCTACAATAAAGAAAGGGTGGGGGGGGGGGACGTAAGGGCTTGAACAATGTCACTAGCAATCCTCCAGTGTGCAGGGTAAGACGATACCAAATAATACCACAGTGTGCTGAGTCTTTGAAATCAGTATTTTACTCATTTCACTCTTCTGGCTGAGGAGATACAGTCCTGCTGATAAATTTGTGCGAGGGACAGAGAGAAAATGAAATGATGCCTACTTTTTTCTTATTTCACAAAGACCTGTTTGAAGTTGCAATGTGGTATCTGTAGTCCCAGACAGATGCACATAAAATGGAATTGAACAATGAATAGCCAGCTCTTATCTGCTCAGTGTCTGAAGGGGAAATACATCACAAATGAATTTCACAGGGAAAAAATATGGACATTCTCTATTACTGTAATCCCCATAGAAAGTTTATCCGAAATCGCGATGAAGTTAAACCCAATATTTCCAAATAGATATGGCGCAAAGAAAGCTGCTTTTCTAGAATCATCTCGAAAATGATCTGAAAATTACATTATGAGTAAAAACCATTATATAGAGAGTTTCTCTGATAAAATCAGAGGATGTTAATCTACAAAGGGACAATTTCTCTCTTTTGAAATCAATGCTATGGTGTTGCAACACTCCGAGTAGGCACTGGAAATTAAAATGGTAATCAAGTGTCTTTGCATTGTCAGGGCTATGCACATCTTTTCTCTCTCCACTGTGTTATTTTGGAAGTGAGCAATGAAGTCTGGATTAGTTTAGGATCTATTTAGTGACAAAGGTGGGTGTGGTTACCTGTTTGGCTGTGTGCAGCAGCGAGGCAGCCTCAGCCCTGCCTGTCTGTTGGACCATCTGGTAAAAGAGCCCATCCTGGTTCTGCAGCAGTACATACGGCTGGTCATACTCTTGGATTCTTCCAGCTGCTAGAACCTGCAATCAGACACACAATGCAGGGTGTGTATGTATCTGTTTGTTTGTACCACCTGTACTTTTCTTTGGGGAAAAATGACATTTCAGCTGTTTCTCTGCTGAGTGATGCATGCAGACTGTGTAAGAAGAATGGGGGAAACAGTAGTTCTGTGCAAATAGGAACCATCCATTTCATGTGACTCATGCAACAGCAAACACAGGTGTCTGTTTTCTGCTCAACAGTTCCATGGACAATAAGCGCAGCCTGTTCGTAGCGTGAAAGTCAAGCCCGCTGACTCTGACAGACTGGAGATCAGTGAATGATCCGTGTATTTATCCTGGCATTTCAGCGGCTCAGGGGTGGTCCTCAGTCAAATCCAACAATCACACCTTTAAAACACTCGAGAAAATTACCATCATTTCTGTGCTATCACGTGCACTATAAACCACACAAAGAATAGTACCAATTTAAGCAGTTTGGAAGAGACTGCAATTATATCACATACAAATTTTAACAAGCTCCATCCCCTTACAGGCGTAATGAGTAGTTTGTCAATGCTTAAGCCCAGTTTCAGGGCGTGTTGAGTGTGAAAGGGAGACTACTGCAGCTGCTGTCATAATCTACAGTTAAGGAGCAAAATATGATGAGAAATACTGTGTCTAAACATTGCACATCTTATGATTTGAAAAGGCAATTCAGGTGGGCCTCGGTTTAGTTCTCATGGAGTGCATAACAATCTGGGGCCGTTTAACAAGAGTGCAGGTGTGAAACAGCCCTGCTGTGTGATTTTTGGCTTCTCCCTGCAGCCCCCTCAGTGACCGGGCAGCCACCAGGTCGTGCCCTGCCCTCCATAGACGCTTAACAAATGCTGCCACAAATGGCACTAATTGGCACCTCTGCAGGCAGTTGCAGGAAGGGGCCAAAGATCAAGTGGCACAAGCGCTCGCTCCATAACAGGGAACGCTGTGCAGGAAAAATCAGGCCAGCTGTTGCAAAATAGGGCAAGTGAATTAAAAGTCTGCTAAGATTGTCAAGGAGGCTCCTTGAAAAAAAGGGAGAGGGGTACTACAAATCTTACTGGGGTTCAACGTTCAAGGTAAGACTTAACTTTTTATAAAGTTTTTGAAGGTGTATCTGAAAATGTAAGGAATTGTAGCCCCTTTTCTGGCTCTTTTTTCATATTGCTTTCATGTTTCCTGAAGAATAAAGGTCTCATTTAATATACTGACTAAAATGTTGGCTGATGGAAATGTACTGTGCTCATACTTACCAGTATTCTGTCACAGTCAATGATAGTGTTAAGCCTGTGAGCGATGGTGAGGACGGTACAGTCTTGAAACTTGTCCCGGATTGTCTGCTGAATGAGGATGTCAGTTCTAAAGAAGCAGGGAACACAACACCTCAGCACAAAAAAAACTCTCTTCATATAGACCCTTGGGCAGGGATTTTACTAAACACAGGACAATGGCTCATCAGCACAGAGGTATGTGCAGCAGCAGGAATAAAACACAGAAGAACCGTGGAGCTGGTTTTCTTTACCTTTTACTTCTGTTATCTAAAAGTTCATTATAGGGATATGTGAGTTTTCTCTACTTTTGCAGTGTCACAAGAAAACAAAATTATAGTTCTTTCAGATTTGATTCCATACAATCGTTTTTTTTTTTGAAAGTCATACTTTTAACTGTAGTGAATACTTGGATGTTTTCTGCACTTATTCTCTGATCAATTCATCACTCTGTTCAGAAGATTACTGACTGCAAGTGACATGCTCTTATGATCGAGTCATCAATGATGTACGCATCCTTTAACATAAAATGTGTTATAGTGTTATAGTTGATAAATGGTGCTTCTTCATGGGGGTTCAGATTATAGTTTTTATTGTACAACTCAGTAATGGTGCTAACGTTTAAATAAATTAATATAAAATCCTGATCTGAGTTGCACTAATTTACAGTTAATAAGCTACATGTGGAGAGGACAGCACAAATATTCCTATTTAGTGTTCTACTTGAAGACTCAAGTGTCCCTGACCTTGGGTCCACATTGGCCGTGGCCTCATCTATGATGAGGATGCGGTTTTTCTGGAGGATGCTCCTGGCCAGACACACCAGTTGCCTCTGGCCCATGCTGAAGTTGGACCCCGACTCGGTCAGCACTGTCTCCAGCTTATTGGGCAGGTCCTCCACCACGGCCTTCATCTGCACCTGCAGAGAGAGAGAGCAGAGCCCCAACCCTTCATTACTCCTGCATAAAGGCTTCCTGTGGGGATGTCTTTAAAGAGCTATCCAAACACACCCATTAACCGCCTGGCACAATGCTGGCACAATGCAGGGCCAGGTCCACTGATGACCTTGGCCAGTGCTCTCTTGTGGCCAGCCTCTAGCTTTAATCCAGGCCACCAAACCCATTCAGAGGCAGGACCAGGAGCTGAAGCCCTTCACTGTGGGGGGAGCCTTCATCCTGGTTGGCCTGACTGCCCAAACATATCTCCCCCAGCACTTTCAATGGTTCCCAGTTACAAGCCGCACATTGAGCTGGGCCCCATGGCCCTAATGGGATTTCCCCCCATGACTTGTGGCGAGCAGGGAGCCTGAATGGTAGCATTGTACAGGGGGACAGAGGGATCCCCCCCTGGGCCGGCGAGGGGGAATCATTCAGAGCCACGCTGGAGTACCTCTTGGAGTGCATTCCACAGGTCCTCATCTGTGTGCTGTCTGAAAGGGTCCAGATTCTTCCTCACAGAGCCCGTGAAGAGAACTGGGTCCTGTGGATAGATGGATATAGAAAGAGAAGGCCGTGGCCAGTTAAGATAATGACGAGGGGGAAGATGTATGAAAGGGTTAAGACAAGCTTTACAGAGTGCCGCTATGCAGAAGACGTTCACAAAAGGCTTTCTCCACTCAGGAGCTCTATACAATGTTCAATAAGTTGATAATTTTACTTAAAAAACCCAAGCTTGCTGCTTGGTTGTCTCGAGTTCATACTATGACACAATAAAAAGCGCAATCTAGTCACCGTTATCATAAAATAATTTCATACAAGAGCTGCAACTCTAACTGCTAATCTCTAGAGTCTGCCAAAAGTAACAGCTTTGCTCTGAAAGTTGAACTATCACATCAGTTCACTGCCCTTTTGAATTGACAGTCTCAGGTCGCAGACAGCTCGGACATCCAAGATATGTATTTATGGTGAGCCACACTCCTGTGTCAAGGTTCAGCTGGAGAGTAAATAAAGCTCTTTATTACAGTGCAGCGGAACAAGCCTGCAAGCCCACACTCCTCCAACATGCCACTCTGTCTGTGGTTCACCTGATAAACAGGAGGAAGGCGGCATTGTCTCTTGTCAGATCAGATATTTACTCATAAATCCAGCTCTAATGTTGAAGTGATTCACCCAACACTTACTAAGACTCTCCCAGAACATCGTGCTTCTTGTGGCACACAGCTGCTGTAGATGAGGTTTTCATATTGCATCATTGTCTGCATTGTTGTAAAGGTCCAATAATACAGATGCACTCTCATTTTGAATTATAACGGAGGATGATACCTTAATGTTTGAAGTAGCCATTTGAAACCATCTTTAACAAGATGTGGTAAGCTATAGCAGCAAGTGTTCGTCTGTAACAAAAACGTAGAGGCTTCCATTGAATCCATATCAGTCAAAGCAATGACATAGGTAATATACCTAATATAATATAGGTAACATTATATGATTGTCTTACAATAATATTTATTGCAGAATCACAGTGTCACAATATTATCGTTATCGTCGTATCACATCATATTGTGCGTTACCCTGTCATTCCCACCCCTACTCATGTGTGTTTTAGTGCATAGATCGTGACAGTGAGAGTATACAACCCTCACACACAGAAATCATGTCTGAACAAACCTTCTGCAGGTCAGGAGACTTAGAACCAACTGCTCAACTTTCATCCATGAAAATAAAGCTTCCAGGACTTCATCCCTGCTACGTCTACCTCGCAAAAATGTTCCACCTCTCTACTTCCAATGAACTTTTTTTTTCCTTCCGTCACAAAAAAAATACAGTCTTGTCATTAAGCCAGCTGAAGTCCCAATTCAAACTAGTTTTGTGACACACTTTAATTGAGGATTCAATGTTAGGTTGCAAAAAATGCTTTCAAGCACAGCCTTTCCATACAGTGATTACGTGCTTCACCAATTCTAAGCCCTCTGTTTGCCACAGAATTCATTTCTTACTAAGTCATTCCTGAGAATTCAATAGAAACGGAAATGGATCCTTTTTTTAATGCCATATGCTAATAAAAAAAGCTTATCATAATCAAATCTGTGGGTTGCAAATAATGGAACTACTCACTGGCAATGTATAGCACACTCTCAAATTCCACATGAAAATGTAAGGCAACAAGCAATGTATATCAAGTTTTTCTCTTTCCATGTGAAAGGCTGACAGAATATCACTTCATCTCTGATGTGTGGAAGGAGAATAAAAAGGCTTTCAGATGAATTTGTGTGAATCCAAGAGGCTTCTCACTATAAGCTTGTAAAACTAAGAGCTCCTTACAAAGAAACTCTTCCATCTGAACATGGTAAGACTTCATATCATGAAAATGGCATCCAGTGTAGGATACTGATGGGCGTGCATTTGAGGTTCCGACTCTAAACCTGCCACTTTGTGCAAGTCTCTCCCTTAAGGAGAGTCAGACTGAGTAAACAAAATCACATCAAACACACATCACATCCATCTCAAACTACTTTGGACTCCGAAGTAAAACTTTATCTGAAGTTGTTGTGATGCCAGAAACCTATCAAATCCATGGAGAAGCATTAATGAAACTGTTTTTGGGCATCTTGGCTGCACCCCTAGAAATGTTTGCGACTTGGGCGAAGTGACGGTGTGTGAGGGGACTCTGACTGTAAGGATGGGGGAGACTTCTTCTAAGCAGCTTTCCCATGTTTGGGGGGTAGAGGGCTAATCCTCTGTCAGGGATGGGGAACTGCTCTCTTCACAGTACAGGCCGTGGGAGTCTTCTCCCCTCCCTCCACTCCGCTGACACTCACCCGCAGGCTGGCATTTTCTTAATGCCGTATCAGTTTCAACAAGCGGAAATAAAGTTAAACTGTCTCAAGGCATCCGTTTGTCTCACTTTCAGAAATCCCCGGAGAGACGACTGTAATTCTCCTCACTTGTTTTGGCTTTTTAAAAGCCAGGCATATTAAAAACAAGGGCCAAAGCATGAAGGTGTCTGTTAGCAATGTTCATCTGACATTTCTGCCATTTCTCAAATCATTAGGATCAACGTGTCTCACAGAAAGTGTCAAAACATGTCCAACAGTTTTAGAAAATACCAAGAGAGCAACATTTAACAAATAAGTTGAATTCATCGAGTTACATTCTCATAAATGGTAGCTAAATTTAAGAATTTGGTACTTTTTTCTTTCGAATGTATCCGATGGTTCAAGACACAAAAGCTTAGATTGTGAGACATTTCAAAAGGGCACCTGTGGGATGATGGACATTTTTTGGCGCAGTGTGTGCAGACCGATCTCAGAAGTCAGGAAGCCATCGATCATTATTCTTCCTTCAGGTTCTGCCAGCCGGAACAACGCAGAGATCAGGGAGCTTTTACCGGCACCAGTGCGTCCGACGATGCCAACCTGGAGTGGAGAGAAGAGATGGTTAGATATTATTATGGTCATTAAGGCCATCCATCATACAAGTGCTTATTGTGTCCCTGAGGGTACAATCATATGGCTAACTATAAAGGAGACACTTATATGGTGTAGAGTTTTAAAAAGGATTGTTTGGAAAATCTGACAAATAATATTACTGTATGTGTGGTATGTAACGAACTGTAGAAGTAGTCTGGGATCAAGCTTTTCAAGGGAGTTAAAATCTAGTATAATTGTATTGATATTATTGCATTAAGTAGCAGGTAATGCATTTGTCATACCTGGAGTGTTAGCTCGTTTAGTGTTATATTGGGATTTTTTTTGTCAGCCAGTGGGAAGAGTCTAGAATTTTGACTTTTTCATTGAGAAATCACTGCGGAGGGTACTGACAAGAAGACTGGTTATTATACAGTACATAGCAGACACTCGGGCAAGCACGCACTCCACTTGAGAATTCCTCAAGTTTTCTAACTTCTTTAATCTGATAAATAATCTGCTGTGGTCAAAAACCATAAAAAATCTCACTCTGTTGTAAACTAGCTAATAAACTAGCTAATGAGTTAGCCATGAATGTTAGCTTCTTAAGATGATAACTTGGCCTTCACCAAACCCTCGCTACGCTCTAAAACAACACTTGAGGCTTTAGTAACATAGTCGGGAAACCAATGTGTGACATCGCGGTGGACCTGTTCATTGTTTATTCATTCTATGGTTAAACAGAATTATTACAAAATGTTAGCATGCTAACATTTTTAAACTAAAACTACATCTGAGGCTGATGGGATTGTCATTGGTTTCACAAGTCTTGGGCCATGAATGGTGTGTTCAATTCCACGCACTGCTATGTGTACAACACATCTTAATCGCATAGAAATAAAGAGTACCCATACAGAAAATAACTTGTCCCGGTTAAACTGATCACAGAATATTTTTTACATTTGGTCAAAGCAGAGTATTTTCCACGATCAAGATCCGAATTCAACCTTGGATATGATGACAACGATGGCACCACAAGGCAATTTTTTTTCTTAAGGAACTGGGCTGCTGATGCCACACGCTGCTGCCTGCCAACACATAGGTTTGTAAATTAATATGGCATTACATAGCCAAGTGGCAACCTTTTGTTTAGTCTTGGATTTACCAACAATACTGCTGCCATAACAAAGAAGGGCTGTGTGTGCCTCACAACATACCAACACACAGAGAGGTTGTAATACTACCATTATTCCCCCTCTTTGCCTATTTAGGTGGAGGGTTGAAAGGATCAAGCTCAATGATCCGGGAACTAAATTAACTCTAAATGTAATTAAATGCAAAGGGTGGGGTATTTCTGAATATGAATATAGAGCTCTCCGTTTATACCATAGACTGTATAAACCATAGACTGTAAATATTACTGGACGAACCCTGACCCGTCTGTTACATAGGCAGAAAATGAGTCCAATTGACGGCCGCATCCATATTGGATTTGCCGTCTCAACCTAACTTCGGATCAACCTAGCTACAGCAGTAAGGCGGGACCGGCGGGACTTAACTCCGCCCATTCAGCTCGACGTTAGCAGTCCACTTCACAGCATAGCTAACAGCTAGGCCGCTATCATCAACTATTCCTGCTCGTCCTGAGAAACCTCTATAAACAATAAGTTAACATTTAACTTTTCTACAACACAGTTAAAACTAATTATATTCAACCCAAATATTTAATTAAAGTTTTAAAACTACACTTTGTTAAATATACAATCATGGCTATTAGTTATTTGTCAGAGAAGTTAGACTTTGTCAGTGTTAGCAGAGAAATACATTAACAAAGTTTAATCCATAAACTGTAAATAAATATGAGACATCCAGAAGAAATCAATATTACAAAGCATACAGTTCATGTTACTGTTCTGACAATAAGAGGAATGTCTGCGTCTTATATTTACTGATGTCAACAGCGAGGTGGGTGAACATGACGATTGAAAAATAATTATTTAGTATTTATGATAAGATATTTGTTTTCTATTGAACCCTATGAAGTCATGGAGTCTGTGGACAGTGTCAGCTTCACACCAAAAACTAAGTATTAGAAAAAATAGTTTTTAAGACTGGCATCTATTATGAGTTGCAGCTACCTTGTTCAATATTATTCCTGCAGATGTGGCTCATAACAAAAAAACAGCCTGAGCTGTCACATGTAGTTAACTGTACATTTTGTCTTGTCTGAGGCATTAATTGAACATCTTTGTATTTCTCCTATAGACACAGTGTGGATTATTGGTGACTTGTCCGTCGAGGTGCCCAGAGAGCTGCAGAGACAGAGGAAGAAACCTGAGCCTCAACAACATCTGCATTTGTTGGTTCTTCTGGGGTGGACTTCGGTTGCTTCTCTTCAACAGCTCGCTGCGAGGGAGGTCTCCCCCGGATGGCCTGAGTGATGACACCCACAGGCTGAGAGCTGGAGCTGAGGCGGGTTTTAAGCCTCTTGACAAACCGTTACACCGCGCCCACCTGTCAATCAGGTCAGCTACACGCCTTATTGTGAATAACTCTTATCCTTCATCAAATCAAAACTGATGAGTCATCAAAACATTCCCCCCCGTACAGTGTGTGTCCATCGAGACATGAGCTAATCACACCTATTTGTTTGTTTTGTACCAAGCTGTAAACATGTTCATCTCTGCTGTAAAAACAGACTTTTTTTAATGTTGTTTTTCAGATTAAATAAATATTTCTATATAAATAGACTCCTTTATGTCTACTTATGTGTATACATTTCAGATTTTAAATGACAAGACTAAAATGTGCATTAATGCTCAACTCAATAGCTTAGGGAAGGAAGTCTACTTTTACAACTTTTTATTCTTTTGATAAATACTAATGTAGTTCATTTCTTAAAATGGGATGGAACAGAGTCATTGCAAAATGATGACCTTAAACACAGCCCCATTCTTAAATCAAGATACATCGAGAGTAAATAAGATCAATAACTTGTGAATAAAAACAGTTAAAAATGATTTAGAAATGTAGTCTTCCCAGATTAATATCAAATAATATCAACTTCTCCCATCTAAACTGGACAAAGGGTTTTAAAATGGGAAGAAAATGGTTTGATTGCAAGTTGTTTGGAGGAGATCTAGTTTTATTTGAACAGCATGAATAAAGTCTTCCAAGGTGCAAACCCTCCTCCTCCTCCTGAAGCCTGTGGAGCTCCTTCATGTACTGCTGTCTTATCTGCTGGCCATCTTCTCTCAGCAGAACTTCGACTGTTGAAAAGTCATTCAGAAGAAGCTCGAGCATGTGACATGGATCCAGGAGAACATGGACTTTTAGTGAGGGGTCTTCAGGATGGAAAAGAAAGAGAGAAAATATCAGTTATTCATTAAATCATTTTTTTGTTCTCATCTATTTTTCTGTATTCATCTGTGTGTAAGAGCACATTTATAAATTCAACAGTGTACTACCCAGACAACAAAGGTACAGTATTCAGGTAATCAACATCTATTCAAAGTTAAGAAGATAAACATTATTGTAATCATGCTGTTTCCAGCTCTCTCACTCACACAATGATATTCCACATCAAATTGTCTCAGATTTTGAGGAAAAATTAAGCAGTTTATAGTGGATAGTACTTCATCTTAACATGAAACAAATATAATCTGAATTATTTAAATCAGTAACAGGTCCCAACTCTCTGTGCTTTAGTATAGAACATACAGTAACTCATTTATTATTAACATGAGCTCAGTACATGGCTGTATTCTTCAAACTATTTCTTATACTTTATATCTATGTGCTTTATAGCTTATTTTCATTCCATATGTTATTTATATTTCTACTGCTATAGTCTGTGTATGAGTTCAGTGAAAATTAATATGGTTATTAATATAGTTCTTACTGGTTACAGATACTCTTACAAAGTGATTTTTTTTAATTTGGTAACAGTTTGCTCAAATCTAAAGACACTACATCAACCATGTAACTTTAATGTCATCCTCTATAACCTACATAGCACCTTAGGTTCAGTTCAGTTTATGTTACTGACGGATAATTACTACACAAAGTTTGTTTTTTAATGTCCACATTTACGTATCATCATAACGTCAGATAACCACCGAGGTGAACCTTTAGCTTCTAACATCACACAAACTCATTATTTTCAACAACAACATCTTAACAACAAACATTTCTAAACCACTGACCGTAAATAATGTAAATAATGTAAATAATGTAAATAATGAGCTACACTGAGTACAGTTAGCCGACTGGTTTACAAGCTAACGCTAAACAAGCTAGGTCCGTAAATATAAATACCGACACATGAGTAAGCAGTAAATATAACACTACTATATCACTTACCGAAAAAAACTGAAGTATCAACTTGTTGGATGGTCTGTTAACCGCACAGCAAGCCATGTATGTTGTCAGATATGTGTTAAACAAACTCTCCAAACGAAGTAAAAAAGAGGAGAAATCAGACGGATCAAGCTGTTAGCCTCCTGACCTGCTGACCGCGCAGAGCTGTCAATCAAATCTGCCACAACCCTTATATGGGCATAGTCATTTTCCTTAATACAATAAAATCCGATGAGTTATAAAAAAAATTCACCCCCCCCACAGTGTGAGGAGAAGGGGCCGTCAACTTCTCAGATATATCTCGTTTTTTGAACCAGGCTGTAAACATGTTGATTCCTGTGCTAAAAACGGGCTTTTTTGGCTGTGGGCTTATGGCACTTCCGGCGCTTCTGCAGCCAGCCTCAAGCGGAACCTTGAGGAACTGCAGTTTTTTGTACTTCCGCATAGGCTTCATTTTTCGAGACCGGAGGTTGCCCCTTGGTTTATACACATCACCTTGTTGTACTGAAATCTAAATTCTTTTAGCCAAAGTATAGGCAAACAGTTATCTTAATTGACACAAACTGAGAAAGAGTTGTTGAGTGTCCTGACACATTCCACACAAATGCGCCCCAGAATACACAAGATTAGCACATGGCAAACACGTCAACACAAACTGATGCCTTCACCTGGCCCTTGTAGGAAACATTTCCGAAAAGCTAACAATTTCCCCCCAAACCCCCTGTGACCTGAAACCATGGGATGCCACTGACTCTTTTATTGTGACAGTAGAATATGACAGACCCCTCTTCCAATGAGTGTCCACATATGATTGAACTGATAATAGAACCAGCAACCTCCCTGTTAAACAGAAATGAGGTAGTTTGGATTGATAGATAGAGGGGGCTACAGTTCAGAACCAAAAAGTCCTAGTTATGCAGACCTGGGCTCCTCAGGATACCTAAATAAGCATTCTACCCAGGTGGTAGCAGGGGTTACCGACCTTAGATGTTTATCATGAAGATATTTTTCATTGAGGAATTTCAAAACATTATTCCAACCCTTGACTCAGTTAAACAGAAGCCACACAACATTTAAAGGGAGAATTCACTCCACTTCTTTCTAGTCCACCGCTGGTTTTATTATCCTTTGTATTACTTGTATTTTATTTCCATGTCTTTTTTTGGCCAAAATGCTCTACAAAGCTTTATCCACTTTTCTAACAATAATTGAATGCCGTGTGTTTGAGGAGGAAAGGAACTTGCATCATACCAGGAATATCTTCTAGACGTCCTTCTGTTTCTCTCTTACACAGGTACAGAACACAGAAAGAGACACCTGCCGCAGCCTAGACAAAACGCCAGCTTGTGCCACTCAAGTCAAATGAAGGAGTGATCATGGGACCATTTGTTAGTCAGAGAAACAGAGTTCCTATCCTTCGGGCTAATGTGGGACCAAGGGAGGGTGAGGGTTAGTGGTGACGTTATCAGTTACTCAAAGAGTTGAAGGAAGACAAAGGTAACTTCCAACAGCCATGCAGAATCAGAAAGAAAGCTTGTACAGCTAAATGGAAGTCAGCCATCATTAATTCCACCTATCCCTGCTTTGACATGTTAAAACATTAGCTAATTGAAGGAACTATTTTGAGGGCTCAAATTCCCTCTATTGGTTTATAGCGCAAGTAAAGAGAAAAGAAAATTCTTTCCTCTAAACAAATAAGAAAGTCCTTGGTTGACCTTTCAAAACCATCGATGAGGGTATGTTACAAAGAGCTACGTTTTCTTGATCTGCCATCCAACAGCTATGTCAAATAAAGCTACAGTAACAGCCACTGTATGGTAGGGAGTTAGGAACAGATGGTTTGACGTTTAAGAGAAAAAAAATAATTGAAACGTGTTTCAAGTAGACAATCCCAAAATCCATTGACTTCCTTCTTGTGATGATTAACCTTTGAAGGTAATGGCATATATTTAGGAATTTGGTACCAAGACTTTTCTGTTTACTGATTGTTGTAAAGTCAGACAAGAGTTGAAACATGAAAAAAAGGACCAGATAGTCAATGGCAACTATAAGCGGATATCTTTTTTAAAATAATAAAATGTTAAATACTTTAGATATAGTAGCGAACAGGTCCAAGAATTGCTTTTTGACCAATGTGTCGAGCCTCTTTTTCCTTCCACACAGTCTGTATTCCTGTATGCAACAAAGCATGCTTAAAACGTCATCGGTCTATACTCCAACAACGACGGACAACAAATAGAAACCAGAACGCTTGCCCAAAATGGTGTCCCTCGCCTACAGATTCTGCATTCATATGCAGATATCTGTTTATAGACTGGCTAAAAGGAGACAAAATGTGAACCCAAAGGCTTTGTGTACCTGTCCATCCATCTCAAGCTGCCCTCAAAGAACACCACACTTCTTTCAGATTAGCAAAGAAGGTAAACAAACGTCATTTGGAGCTTTTTGAAGAATTTGATGGTTGCAGGGGTTTTTTTTCGTAAGAGAAACAGTTTCGTAATGCATTTCAAAACAGTGTTTGGCATGGATCAGTCTCAATTTGTCTGGCTGTCATCAATCAAAATATATGAAAAACCGTAGCATCACACATATCATGCTACCGTTGCTATTTCAAACAACACTTAAAAAAGTCAAAGTTCATGTACGAAGCCATATTGCACAATTTAAAGTTGATTTATATTAACATTTATTTATATCAAAATTAATCTTAAAGGCATAGACTGTGTATAACTGGTCTTTGAGTCCTATGCCCACATCAGATATCTCCCATGACAATGAAGGGTCAACTGTTGTGTTGTTAGTTGTTATATGTGTGTGTACAGTATATGAGTGTAGCGAGAGCGAGAGGGAATGGATGTTATATTGTAGTTGGTAGGGTTCCTTGTGGAGGAGTGTCAGGGGAACTGTCAGGATACACAAAGCCTTTCACCCTCATGGCATGTGGCAGAGATCCCTCCCATGAGCCAGGGCCTCAACACTTATCAACCCATCCATTGTGAAATCAGCCGCCCTGGCCAACCATAGCCATGCAAAATACACCCCCTGCATTAAACACAATTTCAATCATCCTCAACCATCTCTCTCTCTCTCTCTCTCTCTCTCTCTCTCTCTCTCTCTCTCTCTCTCTCTCTCAGTGAATAAACAGTTGTCACCGTCAGGTAGCTCAAAATGCAAATAGGGAACAAATGGATCCACTTGAACAGTCTTAATTACATGATATGTATTCCATGAATCACAAATGGTATAGTAGTGAAGATTCAGCAGCACAATATGCTGTCCCTTTAATAATTGATTTGAAAATAAAGCCACAGAAGAAAAAAAAAAATCACACCACACCTTCTACACTAGCTGCATATCGACCTACGTCACAGGCGGTGCACACCAGTGAGCATGCACAGGAGGGAATAAGACAAGAACCTTTTCTCGTGGTGTGAAGACAACAGTCAGGTTCTTCAAGACCAAAGGCTCACTGGCACTGTAAGAGAAGTTGACTCTGTCGAAAGTGATGGAGCCTGTCTTTGGCCAGTCAGGCGGAGGCTGTTTGTCCGTCTCCCAGGGTGCTTCACTCTCAAGCTCTGCATACTCAACTATTCTTTCCACTGATGTCATCTAAAGAAAAAAAGAACAGTCATTTATATATTTGTATGCATTCATATGTTCTAAATAAATAATTCTAATATATGCTCCAACACTCTGTAACTCCCTTGTCCCTGCTATTAGATTCTGATTCTGTTCACTGTTTTAATTTCTATTTTTTTTATTGGCTGTTAGATTATCTTATTCTGTTGCTCACTGTGCATTTTTAGGTGATTTTTAATGTGTTCCTAGCAATTCTGTAAATTTTATGATATTTTGCTGTTTTTTATTTCACTTATTTCTTGTCTATCTGTTTTGTTTTTAACTTGATGTAAAGCACTTTGTAACCTTGGTTTTGATATAATATTATTATATTATAAAAATTGGCTCTTTTGATCTCTGGACATACAACTAAAAAAAGCCAATACTTAATTTTCAATAAACTTCAGAATATCAATAAAGAACAATAACAATATAACGACTTCTACAATTCTTTTCTTATTTTACAATCTCAAGGTGGTTGAAATGTAATCACAGGATTCATATTTAAATGAAAACACTAGCAGTTTACAAACACTTCTATAGGATTAGGGGACCAAATATTAAAGCAGCAGAGTCTTAAAAAAGAATCCAAACATTCTGGTTTCTTTACTCCCAATGATGCAGCTTATAGTGTATAATACAAGGCCCTCATATGACCCTCCAAGCCTCATAGATGCCTACTTCTATTACACACTGACTTCTTGATTTTAACCCTGGCATTATGATCAAATTTTCAAACTAACCTGACATCCTGATTTAAAAAAAAAAAAGATGATTTAATACACCTTTGTTCAGAGGTTTGGTAGTATTTCATATGGCAGGTAAATGGATCTTCTAAAGTCTAAAATCTTTGGTAAGCCCCTTTAATCAGCCACATTAACCCTGTTTAAAGCAAACAATGGAGTTGCCTTACATTGTCAAATGATTTTCCCTATTTCCCTGATTTCAAGAGAAAAATCATGAATAGGTTTGACGTGCTGGAAGTGTTCTCACCATGTTCTCTATTTCTGCACTCTGTCTGACGCCCCACTGGAACATGCCTGTAAGTGTCACAGCATAAGACAGAGCCAAACCTACTGCACCTGGATCCAGTCCTGTAACATCACAACAGCAAATCCCTTCATGAGTTTGTAATCATGACTTCACAAATGACATCTCACATGTCTATAATGTGAAAGGCATACAGTACCATCTCTGAGGTAAAGACAACCAAAAGCAGTGATGGTGACAAAAACTGAGCAAATTCCATCAAGGCGCACGGCAAACCAGCGAGAAGTGGTCAGGAACAAGAACCAGGCCTCTGTGAACAAACACATGTTAGATGAGAGGTGTAACCTGGCATGAGTCTGAGAATGTTAATGATGAAAGTCAATATCCTGTAGATTTTCTTTTCCTTACCTGAGTGCAGATCTTGATAGTCATCAAACATTTGCTGAAACCTCTGCTGAACTTTAAAGGCACGGATGGTGCTCAGGCCTTGCAGGGAGGAGGAAAGGTGGGAGAACACAGGACTCCGAGCTGGATGAGAAAGTGAGAAAAACATACACGCCAAATGAGCAACAAACATGCATCTGTAAATTCAGCTTTTTGTGCATTCAAAACTCCAATCATTATCTTAACCCAAATGTATCCCAACATCTGATACATATAAGAGGTATAAATATAATTACTAACATGGTTTAAAAACAAAGCAGTCATACACCATATTTCAATACATGACTGCTTTCTTTTTCCATAAATCACATTATGAGGTTTCTACTTCATGTATTGACTATCAGGAGGAGTAGAAAAAAACAAATGTTATATGAACTTCATTCAAAATGGTTTATTTCCTGAATATAAATCAGTTTGGCTTTTGAAGGTTGCCATTGAGTGCTCTTTTGTTTCAGTTTTTGTTAGGCCTACAAAACCAAAGACAAAACCTAAATGTTTCCTCTGAGCTTTTTAATAGAACTTTTGTTCTTTAAGATGATGGAACCTGTTGGCCAATGTGCATTTGGTCTCTCAGTCCAGAATAAAACCAATGAACTAAAGCCTGCGATGGCCTAGTCATGCCCACTTGGCATTTTTCCCATTGTATGTGATGTCATGAACTCCCGTCTCTTGAGGAAACTGCGTGTGGCCGAGCCATAGGCCACCGCCACCTTTAGCCTTTATGCTAATGACCATGGCTTTTCTCAATGGTCTATTAGCATTCCTGTGGTCTGCTTTTGTCTCTTTCCACAAATGGACATGCCCACCCCACAATCCCCCCCACAAAAAAAAAAAATTACTGGTAGACTCTAGGCGCTTGATGTCCCTGGATGTCTTCAGGAAGTAGCACCGCAGGATTAGGAAGACAGCGAGGAGAGGAACAACAGGAATAAGGATCCAGGGAATGATGACGGCCGCTACTGCGATCACTCCGATGACTTGGAGAAACACCTAAAGAGAAGTGGAAAAGTGAGCACAATATTTATCTTAACAGCCACAGGGTAAAAAGCTCCACTGCTGCTGTTAGGGCTACCACAGGAGCAGAGAGGCCTATTTCTTCAGGCTGAACAAGAGGAAGTCTTTTAGTTGTATTTCTGTGTGACCATCATGGACACACAGCAAGGTAACAGCAGGTTGTGGGACTGAGGTTATGTGACTCACAGTGTGAAAGGAAAACGATCACAGTGCTAATTCTCACTTAGTAGCAGGTGAGAATTTACCACTTGGCCACTGTGGCTCATATCCCCAGCTCTCCTGGGCTTTCCCTTCAACACTTCTGGCCTGTAAGCCTCCCTGGCACAGCAGCCAGCCAACAGGCAGGGCCACAGTGACTGGCAGAGGGCTCTGGGAACCACACTGTGGGTGTCTGATACATCACACTGAAGCCGCAAAGCTCTCAACAACACAGTGACTCATCACCCGTGTTAATGGCTCTGTGACACATCGAGACCAGGATATCAGAGCTGCCTAAACAGGATTGGAGGAGATGAGTCCAATGACAACAGAGTACACACACCTCCACTTTGTTTAGAAACTGAAGAGAGAATCTAATTAATTAAAATTATTATTCATATTAAATTAAAAAAAGTGTTTTTAACTGAAAGTACTGTGGAGGACACTTCTTCTGTACATGTTTTATTGTTGATTGTACCAAACATATTTCCATTTCATGCAACATGTTCCTCTACTTCAATTTATATCAGAGGCTAATTTTGCACATTTTACAAAACTAAGTTTATTTGACAGCTTAAAGATAAGACACTTGTTACTATCCAGAATCCCATTTTGATTTACAACATTTAGAATAAGCCAATAGAACATAGATGTAAGCTCACAGTTTAAAGCTCCTCAGGAACTTTGGGATTGTGTCAGTTTCGGTCCCCCTGTGGACAAAGCAGTACATTCTCTTTTCTGATCCTATGCTCCTTTCTCATTTGAGAAACCATCCTATCCCTGCTTTCTCAAATGTATCACTCATTTTGAAATTTTGCTGTGGAAAATGTAAAAAAAAAAAAAAAAAAAAAAGGGCTGACACCTACCCCACTTCAGCAGTGACAGGCATCCGAATGTACAATATAGAAATAATCAAGCTTGTTGCGCATTGTCTCATTTGTTTTTGAAGGTCATAAAGAAGCATCACTTTTAATTTCAGTCTGTTTCAATACCAGTTAGAAACACCTCACAGGATCTTTAAACTGACACCATCTACATTAATGCTGCTTGTCATTCATTCATCCCTATCCAATATTCATAATTAATCCAATATTATAATGCATAATGTTGAATTACTTTTACTTTGGTTCAAGACTATAGGATATTTACCTAGAACAGACTAAAATTACACTTCAACTTCATTCAATAAATCTGAGGACTTCTATTATAACAAGTATTTACATCAACTGAGGAATAGAAAGGTACAGCAGTTATGTTGCGTGCCCCATGTTCAGAGGCTTAAGTGCTTGTGCCACTTGCTCTGGGCCCTTTGCTGCATGACATCCCCCCACCTCTCTCCTCCCAACAATCCTGTCCCTCCAACTGTCCTGTCCAATAAAAGCAATCATGCCCCCCCCCAAACAATAACCTTTGACGTTTAGAAATTGTACACACGTTTAATTTTGAGGAATAATTTAGAAGGTTTTCCCATTTTTTTTCCCCACTTTGTTCTTGTACTTCACAATGAATCAATCACCAAACTTTATTTGTAAAGCGCCAATTCATAACAAATGTTCTCAAGACAGTTTATAAAAAGCAGGTAGAAGACTTTAGACCTCAAGGGGAAACATTGTTTGTTTTTTTAAATACACAATTTATTTTAAAATAGCTACTGAACAATATTTTCAATAAAAATATGGAAATAAGGCATTCATTTAAAATTAAATTTGACCTCAAACACATGCTGCATGAGTTACTAGTTTCATGTTCAGTGTCTGTTTACAACAAATCAAGACATTTCTCTTTGAAACTCCTGTTGAAAGTATAAATCTGTGATATAAAATCTGCATGCTGTAATAATAAATCAGTCATTGAGGCTGTCGTTGTGCATTACTATTAATTTTGATATTCTCAGTAGATTGTTCTCATTCTACTTTCAGACTTTGACCTGATGACATTTTAAATGCAGGACCTTTACTTGTGATATTTGTTCTTTTACTGTTTGATGTAGATACTTTCACCTAAGTTCATAATGAAAAATCATCATCCAACACCGAGTTTGTGAGAAACTATTTCATCCTCACTAAAAGGTTTACTGTTACATATTTTATATTCGATTAAAAGGTGATAAAACTGAAACCTCACACCCTGAAATTGGACCCGTCTTAAGAGATGAATCCTCCAACGAGGAGATTAGGATCATACGGTTACCTTCAGTGGTCTCAGACTGGCCCAGAGAGATGAACATTTAATTTAGCACCTTAATTACGGATGTTATCTGCCACTTAGGCACAGGTTTAAGCATGATCACTTTCAGTGTAGTTTTGAGGATGAAAAGCTACTTGATTCCATTTGCACTTCTGATAAGAGGGTATTACCAGTCTCCCCATTGCTGTAGTGATGCCCACACAATCAAACAGTGATTGGAAGCTACTGAGCACAACTGATCCCAAGAATTTCACAGTACATAAGTTTTAATCTTAGCCTTGATGGAAGGCTAACCAGCATGTGAGATGGTGGTACATGAGCCATCACTGCGTGTCCAGCCTTCCCCTCATGGAGATCAAATATTAACTGAACAAACGTCTTATCCTATATTCTGTTTGTCTACATGATAAAGTGACGCTGCTCGCTCATGTTTGCCAATTGGCTCCTTTAAATTCTAATTTTGGGCCCATTTTGGTCTTTTGGCTTCTCCCAGGCAGGTTTATCTGACAGTGGGGTCATCTGAGGGGACGGAGGAGGAAAAAGAAGCATTAGATGGGAGTCTTTCCTCCTCATGCGCCCCAGGGTCTGCCGTCGCCAAGGCCATGTTTGATGTGATCCATTTGCGTTGTCTGCCACTTATCGTGTCAGCATCAGGAACACCGTGGCCCCCCACCCACACTGCACACATGATGCCTCAGATAAGTAAAGCAAGAACACACCTCACCCCCCCTCAGACCACTTCCATATCTCCTATGAAACCACACAGGAACAGAAAACTCCCAGAGCCACATCCCGCTGCACATAAAAGTGGATAATAGGATGAAAGGTTTTGTATACAAACAGTTTAAATAAAGAATTACCACTAATTGCTCTTTAGCAAGAAAAGAAAGCTACCGCACGCATGTGATTTAGTCATTCAAGCAAACTGGGCACACTGCTGCGCCCAAAGACCATTCAGATCTCTGCTGACCCTAATTGCTTTATTTTCTCAATGATCCCATCAGCTCTTTGATGTCCAAATAAATGTAGAAAATTGAAGTTAATTACTATATTTGTGTTTGGCGATGATAGCGACTGTTGTTCCGCAGCAGAAAATAAACACTGTTCTTTAATCAAACATCCCTGCGGACACAAGGAATCAGTACGCTTTTTACAACCCCCTTTTCATCCTTCCTTTATTTACTGACAGTGTGCAATATTTGCCACTGGAAAAAAAAAAAAATAAAAAAAAAAAATAAGGAGAACACATGGTCACAAAGAAAATTCCTCTGAAAAAAAAGTCCTGTCTTCACTGGAATTTTTTTTTTGTACCCCACACTTTTTCCTGACAGAGTGGCACAATAAGTTGTAAGGGTCAGTGGCACTGAAACAAAACAGGGCTGTTCCACTCTGGCTCTGGAACAATGGAAGTGACCCAATCCATTGGACTCTGTCTCTGGGCTTTATTTTAGAATTAAATACTAGATGCTGTGGCCTTTTCTTTGAGAGAAATGACTGTGGACACCTCCTTCACATTTTCCCTTTCTGGGCCATTTTCACTTCATAAAGCTGCAGTCAATGTGTTTTTGTGTGTGGTGAGGAGGGTCTGACACATACTGTGGTGGTCTCAGTCGCTGTCTACATTGGTGGCTCAAGTAGTCCTAGGATTAGGCCTTTGTGTGCTGTGAAAAGGTAAAAGAAGTCACTTATTTGGGCTCAGTCAAGCTGCTGATTTCCAACCCCATTTTGGAAATAAGAGAAAGGCTTTGAAATGCTCTCTCACTCTCTCTCTCTCTCTCTCCCTCTCTTTCTCTCTCTCTCTCTCACTCTACTATAAATCACTTGTGTCCAGAAAATTCATTCACCCAGCCACTGCTCTTTTTCTTCTTCTTCTTCAAAACAACACAAAAACTGTTTCACATGTGTAAGAAAACAGCAATTCACAAAGTCAAAAGTCACTTTCAGAAAGCACAGAATTCATTCTCTTTATCATATTGACACGAGGGGAGATTCTAGATTAGATTAGGACTTTGTTATGCAAGTTCCCAGGCCTGTTTGACTGAGTCAGAGCGGCTGAGGTGCTGGACCGCAGCATCATGGGAGACCACACATACACAAACACACACTGGACGCTATTGCTGGCTGATGCTCGCCATCAAATGACCATGTGTGGTATTGCTGAGTGGCCAGTTGAGCACAACCACAAGCACACAAACACAAAGTACTGCCTTGTTGTGTTTTGGTTTATTTATTAGATGTTATCTAATTAAAAAAGTCAAAAAAATATCAAGTATCAAGTGTAGTTAATCTTGAGGTTTCTCACCTTTCAGTGTCACTGCACCTTGTGCAGAAAGACAATAGCACTGTCATAAAACAATGCTGGAAGGGGATTTATGGCACAGCCTATATAGTTGCACACAGGCCCATCTCCTGTGTTTCTCAGGATAACCTGTGTAACGCCTCGAGCCAGTGCATTCTTAACTCCTTCTGTCACCAGTGTGGTAGAGAAGCCGAGAAAGCTGCTGAAATCCCATCCTACAGCACTCACGGTTACGTCAGCAGTTCACATATCCCACAAAGCCACTGAAAGGGCCTGACACACAATGTGCCACAATGTACAGACTCACACAACCATCCACCCGCCACTGTTTTTAGACAAAAGCCATTTTGCTGCTTGTTTGTGCGCATCTTGGGTGCTTCTGTTCTGTGTTTGTGTCTGTGTAAATGCTCTCGTTTTCTCTGTGTACAGTTTATTTTCTCTCTCTTCAGGTGACTTTGGTGTTAACTGCGGTGAAAAAGGATTTGCGAGCCAATGTTTATCCATGTTTATATGCCATTATTGTCATGGGTAAGACCAGGACAAGTGCAATAAAAGTAAAATCAGCTGATCTCTTAACATACACATGCTGACATAAAGCATTTTAGAAGACCTATGAATGCAGATACAGACCCCACAGTTAGTGGTGTGACTTGGTCAAGAGCCTTCACACAAAATCCTCCACTGAAAGACCCCTGAACTCACCCCTCATTGTCTTGGTCTCCTCCTCTGCCCCCTTTGTGAAAATAGAGGCAACCCAGGATTTAAAGGTCAAGGCTACACAAAAGCCGAGAGACCCAAAAGCCTGAGGTGTTTTTAATTGACATTTCTGTCATTGTCCCCTGACCATAAAGAGAGAAGAGAAAGAGCCCATTTTACAATACACTAAATTACTACTAAATGAGACCTGTGAAAAAAATAGGGCTGTGGAGTGTAACCAGGTTCCCCCAGCTGGAGGGAATCCCCTTGTTAGGCGGGTTTGAGGGGCAGTGCTGAGGGGCTGTGAAGTGCTTACTCCACCACAAAGGGGGGAGGCTCTGGTGCAAATCCTCGCACAGAAGCGGCCTCTCCCCATAGAGAGAGATAAACCAGTTAGGCCATTGTTTATGGAGTTTTACTTTATTCCCCCCTGACAACCATTTAAACAATGACTATGGGGGAAATGTCCCTCCACGAAAGAGCAACAATAGTCGGGATCAGCAGCTTTTCTGCACGGCTAATACTTTGATAAAAAGAGTGAAAATCGTCCTTCCTGAAAGCGTTAAAAAAGTGCTCCATGAAAGACACCTGCATAAAAGAGCAGAAAGCAGCACAAACAAAAGTGTTTTATTCAAAGGATGCCACCTTTGTCCACTATCACCATCACTTCCCACTTTGTGCTGCAGCAAGAACCAGCAGAAATAAAGTGCTCGATATATCCAGCTTTGACAGGATACTCTTCAGATTCTCCATCGATCACAAAAGCAAAGTGGAAATGGTTTTGTTTCCATCACTTAAGTGTAATGCAGGTAATAGCTCATCTAATGAAATGCATAAGTCATAAATGAAATACAGTATGTGCAAAACAAGTCATGACCTGGTCTACTTTCACTGTTTTTTAGTTGCACTTATGGGCCTACTACAAAGTTATTATTTTACTCCGGCCATTCTTCACCTTATTATCAAAATGGGGAAACTATAGCAGACAAAAAGCTTTTGTGCATATGATCTTTTGTGCTTTCAGCGTTTAAGATGGCTTTTGTCTCCTGTGAGATGGGTATCTGCCACAAACATCACTCAGGCATTGTGGAGGGGGGATTCATTTTCAGCGCGCCTTTGTTCTATTCTCTGGCCCAAACCAAAGAGCCACGCCTGCTCCTCTACCTCGAATTGTGCAGCGAACATTCCCTCCTTTGTGGCGCTAGGTGCATGAGCTGGCTCATCTCCGCGGGCTTTCGTGGGAGATGGCTGTCACGGTGGCAGGGTGGCATTCGGTAACCCAACCTGGCCATGCACCAGGGTGGCCCTTGGCTACCTTGGCTAAGACTGTAGAGCATTAGGTGAATTGCACTGAGAGGGGCAGGTCCCGCTCTGGATGTGTTCCAACTGACCTGTCCCCCTTCCCCCTCCACGAGCTCCCGTGTCTCTCCTGCACACACATCATACGCCTGCTGCTCACACTTCTTCTCTTTGCCACTCAACACATCACCCTCGTCCGTCCGTCCGTGTGTCCCCCCCACCCCCCCACTCCATCCACACTGTTCCCCCTCCCCATTGCGCCCATCATCCACTCGCCTTTTATTTCCTCTTTGGTACCTTTTTTACTCTCCCAATAACTCGCTTAGTCTCCCTACACATTCTCTGAAGATGCTGCTTCTGTTGTGTCACAGTGAGGGAGCCACGCCCTCAGCCTATGTGCACACTTTTATTAAATCTGTGCAGGCGCTGGGCTGCGCTGGCGGGTAATCCTACAGTAATTGTTTCCAGATTAGGGGACCTGGACCACAAAGCAGGTTTAGCCAGGCATGAAATGGCCTTCCCATGCTGCAGTGCCAGCGACCAAACCTGCCGAGGTGAGACTCACCTGGGTGAAGTCCACAAACGTCCATGGGAGCAGAGAGTCCAGGTAACCGATGTCCTTGGAGAACCTGTTGAGGATCCTTCCTGGGAAACAACGACATGAAAAAAGATGAGATAACATCAGAGTAGATATATTCCTGAAAGAATAACTTGACAAACAGCTAAATATTGTTAATGTTATTAAGATTTCACGTTTGATTTGTGCAATAAATACAGTAAAATTATGAAAAAGGTAATGTGTGTATTCATATCGAGACGCTCGAGAAGACAGAGAGAAAACAATTATCCCTTTGAATATTAGCTTCTCTGCACTTTGAAAAGCAATATTTGAATAGTTTTTTTTCTTTATTCTCACAAGACTGTAAAGAAACTATTACCAAAGTCACCCTCCAATTGAATTGAGAAGAAGGGCTTATTTATTGAGTGTGATATCAGAGGAACAACACAGGCCTATCCAGAGTAAACAATGAGTCATTATTGGTCTTGGGTTTCATAAAGACTACCCTACTCTTGGCTGAATACGTGAGGGAACCCTTTGTTCAGAGACAAAAGAAGCAACAGAAGCTGCGTACCTGCCTTTATGTTCTGACTGGCAGTGTCGCTGACGTTAATTGAGTTGCATCCATTCTGCTCAGGTGTTCATTATTTTGGCTGGTGCTCCGCAGGTGCTGTGGCAGCCCCCCTTTTATTGAGACTCTTTTAGTATCTTTGCCTCCCCCCCACCACCACCTATCCATACTGATCCTACAGCACCTAAGATTACACCCCAGCTGCTTTCACACACTGTTTACTGCAGGGTCAGTGATAGCAAATCCCCACTCTACACTAGCTAAAGGCAGGCAAGAGAGAAAGGCTTTCTCTATCTCTGTCCCTGAAGGAAGCCCTCAGACTCTCAGAGGCAGACAAAAAGTACCAGAGTGGTGCCAGAACTGCTGCAACAAGAGCTGGGCTCAAGTTAAAAGCCACCAAAAAACAGTTGTGTGTAGTATTTTCCCACTCAAGTGCTTTAAAGATTGTGTTATAATGCCCTATTCTGTACTGTGGCATGTCCTCAAGGTGAACCATTACTTTACAAACAGACACTGTACATCTGTTTTCAAAGTATGTCAATGAAGAACACACATCTTAAAGGTTTAAGTGAAACAAACAACTGAAGCATGTAGATTAGTTTAGGCCTGGAGAGGACCCACGCCTTATCAGGATGTGACTTGGTAATGGACCAAAAGAGAGGACGGCTGAGGTGCACACATTGGCACTCTGTGATGGTATGGTGCTCTGGAGGCGTGGCAGAGCTATGGCACCACTGACCTAAAAGTTGCCTCCCAGCTCCCCAGTCAGTCCTATACGGAGGAGGGCCCTGTAATCACCTCTCTCCACGGCCGTAAGCAGCTTACAGCTTTATCCAAAATGCCGCTCCTGCCTAAAAAACATGCATGCAGACGAGGCCGGGCTCCCTATAACAACCATTGCATAAAAACCCAGCCAGGGCATTATTCCCCGCAACAACCCAGCAATGCTCTAAATCAGCAACTGATTCAAAGTCAAGTGGCGTAAGCATGTTGTACACTTGGAGGCAGACTAATCTTATTCACAGTGTGAGTGCCCCTTTAGCATACAGACATCCCGAGGGGAGGGTTCATGCAAGGGGGTAGAGCTGCTACTATACTAGTGGAGAATATAGCAGCTCTAGTCTGGCAACAGGGGGGGGGGGGGGGGGGGGAGTACTTGTCAAAGTGTGTTTGCTGAAGATCCAATAATATTTTTATGTAATTTTACTGTCTAAGCCATAGATGACCCAAATTCATGCATATCTGACAAACAATGGCAATGAGAAAAGGCTAGGTTTCTCTGGGTTACATCATACCATGGTTAGAGGGTGTTAAAGCACAGAACATCAGTCAGCTATCAGCTGTTTGACAAGCGGCTCAGTTAACACAGAGTTTCAGAGGGGGTGAAGTAAAAGACCCTTCTCCATCCCGCGCACACTATAGAGGGGATACATTACAGTGATGCAGTTACACAAAGACAGCCACTGCATGGAAATGCCTATGAGGTAAGATCGGCATGGGACAATGGCTTCAATCACTACGGGTGGTTGTCAACAATATCACCTATTGTGTCCAGATGTTTCAGAATACCAGCAGTATTAGTATCAAATCATTTCTCATGGTTAAAGACTCCAGGGGTGATTTGCACCACTTTTTCAAGCTCGGGAAATGTCAAGTCCTCCCCAACTAAGGTGACCCCTTAAGGAGGAGATATTAGATGAGCAGGGCCCCCAATCACACTTAAAGAAACAGAACAGTGGGGTCCGGCTGGAGCAGGGCGTGTGGCAAATCGCTGTTCCCTGTAAACATCAAGATAAGGAGACAACTCAGAGCTGCTCCATGTGTGGGCCCCAGTGCAGACGGAAGGGGCCTTTCAGTGAGGCAAGTGTGATAATGAAGGAATACTGGGGAGGGGGCTGCCAAGGCTGGAGGTGGCACAGCTCACCTGCACTTCCATGAAGGGGGGCCCACGGGCCTGGGGCAGCCTCCCACCGCTGGCGCCTTGCTGCCAATACTAATACATTCTAAATCCATTCTCTTCGCTCACACCGCCAGGCTCCTGCAATCTCCTCTGCTTCCCTTTCATGCAATTAAATAGTGGAAGTGCCGAGCGAGGGGGAGCCCTATCAGCTGCTCTGCACACACACACACGGCTCCATCTCCACATTCAATTTACACACCTCGATATCATCACCCTCTCTGCAGTACTTCCTCCACTTCGCTCTTAACACTCTTGCATCCCACACCTGAAATACAGACATAAAAACATTGCTTCTGTAGACACAATTAGAATCTCACATCACTGACTACAAACGATCTAATGTTCACTGCATCAACAGCACACTGAGTGACACCCAGCACAGAGATGGCCCACTAGAAGTGAATGTGTGTGTGTGTGTGTGTGTGTGTGTGTGTGTGTGTGTGTGTGTGTGTGTGTGTTGACTGAAACTCCACTCCTTGACTGTGCTGATGAGCTGAAGCCCTGGCCTGCAGTCTCTGAGGGGATTAGCCCACTCAATGACACTAAATTACAGGGATCAACATCAGCTCAATACATCCACCGCTGTCTGTTCTAACTGGATCATATTTGGGTGAACAGCTCTAATGAAAACTGTATATATTGCAAAAATGTAGCAACATGAATATATTAAGCTATATAAATTACTAAAAAAAAGAGGAGTCTGCGTTTTATCATCGTCATCTAGATATCTTGAACGCATCAAATAGCATTGTTACAAAATATAAAAGTTTTAATCAGCAAAAGCCGCAAACTGTTTCTACACAGCGCAGAAGAGAATAATACAGGATTGTGATTGAAATACCACAGAGGCATTCAATAGCTGATACAGAAGAGCTACAAAGCCTCTCCATCAATCATAATTCACCCCTGCCTTGCTCTATTGTTACAAACCACATTCACAGAATAACAAATAAGACCTTTGTGCAACGACGCTTGAAATGGTAACCTTTAACTCCGTCGACAGCTTCCAGACAGCAGGCCTGTTCAGCAGCAAGCGCACCTATCACTTACACTTGTAAACTGCTGTCAAATCCTTTCCTACACATAGACATACAGTCGCTTATAATCACTGCAAGACGGAAGAGACGCAGAGAGAAGCAGCTTCGGTGGTGTTGGCAGTTAAACATAAAAAGGTAAAAAAAAATCTTTGGAGATGAGCAAAAAAAAAAAAGAATAAAGAAATAAACAAAGTGTGAGAGACAATACACAGAGTTGATGCAGTCTGCCTTTGTCCTGATCTTTCTGCTAGGTTACACTCCAAGTGAATCAATCAGATGAAAAAATACAGAGCTGAAGAAGAAAAAAGAAAATAAGTCTTGTAACTCTTTATAACTCTTATATTTTAAAGATTTAAAAAAAGGTCATGGTAATGCTTATTCTATTGGTGCCTGGATGAGGACGAAACAAATACAGTCTGTGGGATATTTTTCTATAAATCTAGTGAGACACACTCTGTTGTTTGTTCGCCTCGGGGCCACGCTCTAATGACTGGACTGGTCATACAATGGTTACTGATAGCAGTACAACAGCAATCAGATAGCAGTGTCTGTTAAGCCTCTCCTTTGCTGCACTATTAAACAGATTATTACATTATTCAAAGTGTTTGTCCTCTTCTCGTGCGATTACCAGGTAAGGCACACCCAGATAAGCTGTCAGCTAGTCCAGTACATGACACAGCGGCAGCAGGAAAAACAAAAAGCCTAAGATTATAAGACCTGTGGTGTTTGCTTCAAACACAGCTTTGCAAAGGAAAGCTTTGTCGCTACACCCACTTCTAATGCCAGGAGAAACCGCGAGCTCCTGAACACCCTCAAATCATATTTAGACTTGTGTTAACAGCTTATTATGACTCATTATACAGATACAAGTTCCCCTTCTTGTTGAGAATTCCCAGCCGAGCTGATTGTGTTGTACATGCATGTCACTTTGAAGAGATTAGGCTGAGTAATTATCTGCTGACAGGTGAACAATGCCCTAGAAAAATTAAAGTTATCAAAGTGGGCCACTTGACAGTTGACTTTAGATGTGAATGACAGATAGTAGTGATATTACTAATTAAAAGAGGTCTTTAATTAAAACCACAAAACCACAGGGACATTACAAAAAAAATCTAAAAGAGAATAACAATTTGCAAAGGATTTGAACAAAGCACTCCACGATTGGATTCTAGTAGAAAAAGTGGCGCAAAACACAACTGAAGAAAAAAAACCTGACCTGTACAGTATCCTGTATGTGGAGTCAAAAATGTTTGAAGTGTTTGCTCACTTTTAAAATCATGTCTGCACGCTCTATTGACCCATCAGCTAAAGCCTACAAAGATAATAAAATGAGCCAAGATTTTTGAGGCAGCACAACTATATTAGCTAAGGTCTATATTTACACAGCTCTAAACTCCAAATAAAACACTGTCCAAGATGTAGTGCAAACAGTATTCATTCAGTGAGACCGAAAAGAAAGATAGCACTCTCTTTACTCATTTGTGCATACATAAGGGTTATATATTAAGTTATAACACAAGGGTTTTTTAGATGGTATTGGCCTCTCGGTCAGACATGCTTTCCTTTGGAACAGCAACTTTGATTACGCCAGTTAATTTACCATTACATTTTAAATCCCACAAACAGAAAACAATATTTTACGTTGTTTAACTCAATGTTTGATTTATAGTTTATATTGTGCCAAATAACTGAAAATTTCCATTTTTCAAATGACATTTGAAAAAAAATGTCCATGACAATTTTTTAAAATATGTAAATAATGTAAAATCTCATATTTCTAACCACATTTTGGATTATTTTCTTTATATTGAAAAACACTAGATATTCCATAGAACATGACAGTAAAAACAGACTGGGAAGGTGTTTTTGAAGTGGATGGAAACATGATCAAGTCAGCAACAGTCTGCTCTCTAGTGGTCAAGTGAAAAATCACTTTCACGGCAGATCCTTCTTCGTGTTAACTTCTTAAAACCTTTGCGTAAATCTTTCTGTATCTGTTATAATGTATGAATGAGTTATTTATCAGTCATTCAAATGAGTACTTGAGGAGTAGGTGAGCAACTCACCGATTGGATTGACGTCGAAAAAGTGTACCGGGGTCCGGAGGATGGCATGGAACATGCTGTTGTGTAAGGTTTGAGCCGAGCTCACCAGAACATTAAAGAAGACCAAGCAGCGGAGGAAGCCAAACAGTACTGAAGTGGCTGTTAAACCTGACAAAAGCACAGAAAAAAAAAATCCATCAGCACACTACAAAGCTATCTTTGTGCCTGTTCCAAGGTCAGCTATGCATTTAAGGCCAAGGGATGCTGAATGACACAAAAAAAAGCAGATATATTCCACTTAAGTTTTTCCTTCAATAATGTTTTTTTTTTGTTTTCAATGGGGATCTTTCACTGTGAATACAAGGTGTGAAAGAGTGCAGAGGTTGGGAGTCACGGGGAGACAATCAGAACAATCCAACAGTAGACAACAAGAAAGGCACTGCTATCTCCCTGTACAGCTGAGGCCCATGTACACATACACTGGGCCTTGAAGGCCTTGGGCAACAGCCAAAGAACTGTGGATCTGTTCATTGAATGCCTGGCGTATTCAGAGACTCCACAGTACACAAAGAGCAATGTGCGCTCACTGAGCTTCACCTGCGTAAACACCTAGGTACAGGTCAAGGTCCAACTGCAGAGGGAAGCTGCCATTGAGGTGCTCTGTCACATTGACGCGCTTCTGCTCAGAGGCCCTGCAAGTCAGCCACAAAAAAACCAAAGTCTACAAGGACAAATAAACACAACAAAGAAATAAAACTGCAACATGAGGAGGCTGTACAAAACACACTTCTTTGGAGCTAAGGCACAAGGTCAATTGCAAATAGTAAAATAAAATGCCAGAAAACAGTTTGATTCAGTGTTCTTCTATTAAATCATTATTTTAGAAAAAAAACAATGTTCCTTCAGCTTACAAAACCTGCTATTATCCTCTTACACCAGTGTTGCCAAGTTTGTGTGAAAGAAATAAAATCTCACCAGCAAGCGAGCCACCAGTCCTGTAGAACAAATGTAATCTAAAAAAACATACAAACGAGCAAACACACAAACACACTGATGGAGATTAAAATAATGACAGAAATAAACAAGCATCAAAACTGTTGAGTTTGACGACAAATGTAAACATTATTCAACTAAACAGAAAATACAAACAACTTAAATAATGTCAGAATTCTTTACAAAACTGATTGAAAAACAAATGCAATAAATATTCTGAAAAAATGGACTCACATGTGCTAAGGCATTAAGTAAAATGAGGACCAAGAGGAGCAGGAAGTTGGCGCCTGCCCTGAAAAACTTCACATACATACGCAGGCCGATGTTTCCGTCTGAGCGGCTTTCCTCCCCCGCAGGTTGCACTACCTACAGACAGACACTAGTGTAAATATCACCCAGAAACACGACTGATCAGGCTGTGATGAGCTGCAGGGGAAAAGTGAGTACCTCCTGCCCTCTAGTGGCTGGTAGGTAGCAGTTTTTTTTTTTTAATTTAGAAAGCTCGACATATACTTGTTAAACTTTATGGGGGAAAAAATGTTCCTTTACATATTACTGTAAAGTCAGATATACCTACCGCTGGCAGTGGCTCTGCTCCCTCAATCAAAGAGTACTGAGAGGAGGAGAGGGAGGACATAGAGGACTTTGAGTTGTCAGAGAGCGACATGGCACATGTCTCCTCTTCCTCCTTGTCGTCCTCTTCCTTAAGGGTGGTAAAGTCCAGTCCAGAACCCTGCAACTCATTGTAGGTCCCACGTGCCACCATCTGACCCTGATCATGGCATAAATAAGATAGAGATACATAAAAATAAACGTACAGACACAGTAATCTGCCAGGGACACAAAACACTTTATCAAGTAATTATCTCTGTGACTCATTGATGTTTTTGTTGTTGTTGATACATGCGACTCAAACCCAAAAAAAGAAAATCATTCCTGACACATTCATTTCTTGAATGTTTGATGCTGTTCATATTATGAGGTTCTTCATTTCTTTCATCCTCTTGCAAAATGACTACAGTATTTGGGAACTGATAGAGGTGATAACAGGGTTATGTGTACATACTTGGAAAACAATTAAGAGAATAATTTAGATAAAATCAATAGAATCATAAATATAGATGTTAGAACAGAAAGTTAAGCTATTTCTCCTTTAACGTTTTAACTACAAAACCCCTCTTCAGACAGAAGTATAGTTTAGTGATTATTTTTCTGTTGACAAAAGCTGTGGTAAAGCTATCAAGGTTATATTTTTATTTTGAATCAACTATTTCCACGCAAACTTGAGAAATTTATCTAAAAGAATTTATAAATTGTATAGGCTACAGAGAATGTATATTTGACACTCATAAGATAGAGTTTATGGTGGAATATCTATAAAGTTATTAAGCTGAGAGATCCAATGTAATAAGACATCAGTGATAGTTCAGAACACTGATTGTAAACTGGAATTATACCCTGTGTATGTAATCATCAAGTATTCAGAGCACATGCAGAATCATGACTAATACCTTCACTTGTAGTCACTTATTTAATCATTTAAAAATGTGTAGTTCAAACCCCTACAGGACTCACTCTTATTCACATACACATATGTATCACTCACCTCCTTTAGGACGACAATCTGATCTGCAGCTTTCAGATACTGTAGTTGATGAGTAACCAAGATACGAGGCTTCTTCCTCAAAAGTCCACAAATGCACCTGATGAAAACATGTAGTTTTGATGACATGAATAAAACAAAGAACAATCAGATTATGTGGACTTTGCATTGGATTTTTTAATGATAGATAATACCTACTCTTCAAAGAGGTGTCTTCCCACCTCAGCGTCCACAGCACTGAGCGGGTCATCTAGCAGGTAGATGTCTGCATCCTGATACACTGCTCTAAAAACACACATATGGAGGTTATCTCTGGCATAAAGTCCATATTAAAAAGAGCATCAATAAGTAGTAATGCAGCACACCTTGCAAGGCTGACCCTTGCCTTCTGTCCTCCGCTGAGGTTGGCTCCTCTGTCCCCGACCATCGCCAGGTCACCACCTGGCAACAGCTCCATGTCCTGAACAGGATCCAATCACAACCCTTAACACACATTCACATTGGATTCAGCTGCTACAAACTATGCTCCCTAAGACTCTCCTAATACCTATGTAAGACTAACATAAGGTTATGTGACTTATAACACTTTGTTTTGAGTGATTTTTACTCTCTTGAGGGCGCAGGCTCCCAGAACTCTGTCATACTTCTGGGGGTTGAGCTCTTTGCCAAAAAGGATGTTGCTTCGGATCGTACCGGGTAAAATCCAGGGCTGCTGAGACGTGTACGTCAGCTCTCCTTTGACCTTTACCACACCACTTTCCTGACTCAGTTCTCCCAGGATGGCACTGAGGAGAGATGACTGACGTACAAACACAAAAAACACACACACACACAAATTTAATTTTCACATCTAAACTTAAAGTCAGATGAGAAGATTGATACCACTGGAACTCAGTATGGAACTGGAGCCAGGAGTCAATCAGCATGATCTGATGACTGTTAAAAGTAATAGTAACAGTATTTAACTCTAACCACAAAATGTATTTCTGTTTGTGGATAAAAATAAAAAATAAATTATTACTACACATCAATTAGTAATGTTTCTTAACTTGAGAGAACCAGGCTAACTGTCTCCATGTGCCTCTCCTCTCTAAGCTTCTTTTTTATTGTATCTTTATTTATATTTATTTGTATTTATTTAGCAAAAAACAGATGAAGAAGGCAATCTGCAACTACCTCCTAGCAGCTGGAAGCACACAAAATGCTAGCACTATTACAATCCAACTTCTGAGTAAAGGATCAATTTGTAAAATAAGTGGAATCTTTGCATTTCCTTGACATTTAAATATTGAAAGTCTTTATTCTATCAGTCAGATCTTAAACACAGGTGCATTTCATTTGGCATTAAACTGCTAGTGATGAAGTTGACCTAGCTAAATCAGCGCTATGTTGCTGCTGACTAATGCTATTGAAAACATTACATCGATAACTATTTTAGGTTATTCACCATTTCTAAGGTTTACAATGTCTGCGTTAGAGTAAACCTGATCTTAAGAACAGACCAGGGGTCTCGTTTATAACCGTTGCGTACGCACAAAACGGGGTCTGAAACTGGCGTACGTCTTTTCCCACGCAAAGTCTGTGATCTATAAAAACAAACCTGATGGTAAAATGTGCGCACCGGTAAGCAAACTGTGACCCAGGCGTACGTTCATTTTGGAGGCATGGGAAATTGGCGACACAGACGGTGAAGTGGTGAACTGAAGCCTGCAGATACATATTGATGTCTCTTCCACATTTTATTTCACTAAATATCAAACTTTACTGACAGATCCACGTCATCATAATCATTCAAACCAATGGTTTTATTTATGCTATAAACGCGCATGGAGTGAGCCGTTTCCGATAAGTAACTTTCATTGTGAAAATATATAAACATAAAATAAAAAATAAAAATAAAAGTCCGCCTCACACATATTGCATCAGCGCCGTCTCGCCTTCATTATCCCGGACGGACCTCAGAGGACCGGACTTGTACACTAATGTAATCACTGATGTAGAGTTAAACATTAGACTAACACAGAGACCATAGAGCCTCCAGTTTTCATGAATATCTTTCAAAATCGTGCATTTATTATCAAGTGTGGTTTTTAGTTTTAATAAAGATGCCTGCGTCAAGACGCACAGAGCGCACAGAGATACAGCGATGGCTTCACACATTTCACCTCCTCCATACTCAGCACATCTTCATCAGCTGCACGTATTTATTCTGTAAATAATTCAAGTGTGGACATTAAGTTCGGGCATCTCTGACAGGATCATTAGGCCTATATATCCTCATAATGAGTCACAGAGCAGCCGGAGTTTCTCACGAAAAAATGTGACCAACAATCAAATGTTTTTGTTCGTTGGTCAAACTTTTGATTAATAATATCAAACAGTGAGGCAGACTGCTGACTGACGTGAGCACTCTGACAATATGAAGAAGTCAGTGTGGGTCCCGTAAACAGGTAAACATTGCAGATGTACTCGTGTGTAATGGTGAACGGCGGATGTTTGGGCACATAGGACAGGGTGAATGCAGCAGTGACGTGGTGTCATTCTCTGATTTATCTTCAGTTTGTGATCCACCTGCTGCAGTAAACTATCCATATGTTCATTTTATCCTTCACTTCATTCACAAACTCCTTTGTTTCTGGGTCAAAAAGTTTCGTTTGTTTGTCTGAACTTCCGGGTTTCGCCGTGATCCAGTGCTGGAAACCTTAGCTCCGCCCCCTCGTTTGTATGCTTCTTCATTCACGAGCTGCTTTGCATTGACTGTTTATGGTTGATTGTGGGCGTGTAGAGGGCAGAACATGGGACTAATCTACGTGCGCACATTTCCAGGTGGATCGTGATTTATAAAGGGAACATTATGTGCAGGTGTGCGTACGAACGGTTTTATAAATCTGAATCATTTTGTGCGCACGCCATTTCCAGGTTTTTGGTGCACATATATTTTTAGAATGGATTCTACGCACTCTTTTATAAATGAGACCCCTAACCTTTCCAGCACCAACAGGTCCGATTACTGCCAGGAGCTGCTCTGTCTTCACCGTAAACGACACGCTCTGTAAAGTTGGAGCCTCTAGCATCTGTGAAATAAAGTCAATAAAATGATATGCAGAAACTAAACTGTAATATATTTCATATGTTTCCAAGTGGATCTTGTTACACCCTTATTGTAAGAGAGCAAGAATACACAGACATGTAGCCCACACTACTCCTCACCTTATCCCAGTAGCATTTTAAATCCTCAATCTTCACCATATACTCCTTCTCTGCCACAGGAAGCCCCAGATAATGTGGAACGACTTCATCAAGCAGGAGAAAAGTCTTAAAAGAAGAATATTCAGGGATTCAGTTTTCATAGAAAGAAACCAACATATACATGTAACTTTGTCTTCTGTCTATGATACACTTACTTTAATCCTTCTTATGCTGATGAGAGACTCAGAGACCTTCTCTATGGCAAAAGGAAAGAAGAGGGTGATGGTGAGCCTCACTGCCCCATAGAGAGCAACAGCCATAAACACAATGCTAGCAGACAACATGTTGCCTGTGAGCACAAAGACACACACGGTGATGAAGATGATGATCTTGCTGCTCACAAAGAAAGACGCCATGTTCAGGCCACGCAGGTATGAGCTTTTCATGATCTTTGAGATCTCCAGTCTGTGCAGGAACAGGACAAGAAGTCAGTGAATGCTATTACTACATAATGCAGGAGCATGCAACAAAACATTTGAAAATCTAAATTTGTAAAATTTAAAGCACGATACAAAACGTTTTGAACAGATTGCAAAAAAAAGGTTAAAAAGAAGGTATGAAAAATAATCCTGGTGCAAAAGGATGCCACTGTATTGTTGTACAAGTTAATAATAAAAAAACTGAGAATAACAGAATAAAACAGTTCTATGCTCCAAGTCCCACGGGTTTACTCTGAACTTGGAAAATCTGCTTATAGCTTCTTAGCTCCAAAAATGTGGAACAATTTACAACACTGTCTCAAGATTGACACTCTTGTTTCTTTTGGGCAGATTAAGACAAAGATCTCAAACCACTTTCCCACAGTGTGTAATTGTTTGTAATGAGAATTTATCCTAACCTGTCTTTGTTGTTTAATTTGTGCCCTTCTTGTTTGTTCTTTTGATTTGTATCTCGACATCATTGTAAATGAGGGAAACCTCAATGATTTTCGAGGCTTAAATAAAGGTTTGAAATGAAATAATGTCAGAAAACTGTCGCTCTGATGCTTTTTGGATTATACTCCACTCTCTCGGGAAGCTGCAAGCTAATCTGTCACTCAGCTTGTTTCAGGGAATTCATGTTGTTTTAGGTCAGGATTCCTTTAAGTGCCTTCACTCACAACATTTTAAACAAGGCCAACCACATTCTTCAACAGCTGTTCAAAGAATGCTCCACATAGGGGAAGTGTTGATACTCTGATGACTACTTCAGTGCTACTAAAAAACTTCACACTGACAGGCTGACGATGTTGTTTTTTTTTGCAATAGGATGTTTAACAAAACAATAAAAAATGTAATGAAGTTTTCAAAGTTTTACTCAAATCGTCTTGTTGCCAAGCCCAATTCTGAGGAGAAACACGAGGAGCACTCGACCAACCTTCTGACCTCATCCACTAATGCAGCGAAAGGCTTCTCCCACCCGTACATCTTTATAACACGGATCCCAGTGATGACTTCATTCATTGTGCGTATTCTGTCATCTGTTAAGACTGCAGTTTCAGCCCTAAAAAAGAACATGTACAATTGCAGCAAAAATATTAAGTGTGACACATCATGAACTCATAAATCTGGGAAATAACAACAAACCTGAGAGTGGAGAACAAACGTCCAAAAATAGCCTGCACTGGCATCAAGATAAACAAGACAGCCATTCCTGCAAGGCCTGATGGTCCGATTATATAAAACAGCAGTAAAGTTACAGTTGCTGCTTGTAGAGGACCAATCCACAAAAAGTGCAAATACAAGGTTATCTGTAAGAAGACAATATGGAGGGAAAGTGAGGTGAAGTTTGTGTAACTTAACGACTTCCTCCATGTAAAATATACATTTAAATTAAAAACTCTCAGGTAATTACCTCATCAAATTTGTTGACGTCATTGGATAACAGGTTTACAATTTGTCCAGTGGTGGTTTTGGCCAACGCTTTGCTGTTGAGACAAAGAGCCTATGAAGAGAAATAAGGTGTTACATCAAGTCCTTCAAAATCACAAGGATATGAAAGAGGATATGATGCACATTGATGTAGTGTGACTAACCTTCCTATAGATCATATGACACATGGCTACTCTGATCTTCATGCCCGCTCGCTGGACGTGGTAGAAGTAGAGATGATGAAGAACGGTGATGGCGATGGTGGACAGGGAGATGCCTGTAGCGTAGCTGTAGGCCTCGTAGATGGCAGCATCGTCGGTGGGGTCATGACTCTCAAAATACTCAATCATTTTCCCGAGGAGCACTGGCTGAATGACTTTGAGAACTTCCTGATAGAACATTAGATCCAAAGACAATATAAGGATGTGCTGCTTTAAACCAACTTCTTTCTAACATGGGAATTTTGCTTTTTTTCAACCTGGGTTGATGCATTTAGGTTTTCCATGACTTGCAGGTTCAAACTGTTTTGGTATCGCCTCAAAATGATTACACTGCAGTCAGCAGCCCTGACACAGCTGGAGTGGCTGCAATGTAATCCTTTGGGGGTAATTACAGGTGAGCAAATGTTCTGAAAGTGTTTTATTTTTTTGCATCTTCCAGGGTCAGATTGTAATTCTTAGTGTCATGAAAACTGAAAGGAACTTTGCAGTAAACTCTCCGTCAAGGGGAAGTATCTCTGTGAGAACTCATGGTCGGGAGAATTCTTGCAGGAAGAGGGTGGTAAAAAGAGGAGTCAGAGTAGGATCCATTTCATCATGATTTCAGACTCTTTCAATAATTATCTGAACCTTTCAACGGAAAAAACAAGCACTTTTAGTGGACTTAACTTGCTTGTCTGTAATTGCCCCAAATGATTGTTGTGAAGCCATCAAAGCTGTACATTGCTGTGTCAAAATACATTAAACCACCTTAACATGTAAAATGAGACCTAGTATGGAAAATACAGCAATTCCCTTTTAATGCAATATATCTTTGCAGATGTGTGATTGTACTTTACCTCTATAAAAATGTATATTCCAATGAGTGAGTATGACCTCCAGTAGCACGTTACTAGAGCTTTAGTTAGACTAGGTGGGCGCAGGTCTTTAGCCGCCTGTTGAACCTCTGCGTTCCAGTACCTTTGACAAGAGAAAAGAAAAAGGCAGAGGTAATTAAGCTGTGTTACTCACAACATAATAAACCGTTTCAACACTTCAGGCTTCTTCAAAGAAAAAAAAAAGGTGAAATAATCCATTATTGTAATATCTTGCTTGTATGGTAATTAACTGACTAAGAATGCATCTTACACTGCTACAGACCCAAGTGTGAGGCAGTCTCTACAAGATGGAGCATTCAGTGAGAGGCTGTAGTCAATTATTTGTAGCACTACATCATTATGGAAAAATAATTAATGAGATTTTCCCATTTGGACTTCAGCATTGGGCTGAATTCTAATTGGAAACAATTAACAAGGTAACAGCTTTGCTTTGCTGCTCACTTTAATAAAGACTATGTCACTGTCCATCATTTGCCTTACTAGTACTTACTTAGTAGAACTTACTCCATACTCCTTTTTAGCAATGAATGACCCAATTATAGATTGTACAGTCCACTTTTTCTGGGAGATAATCCTCCCTTTGAACATAGGTGGTATTAACAAAGGGTCTACATGAAGGGTATCCCCTCAATAGAAGCCTGATTTAATAAATATATACATGTGTAAAAACATCGCTTACTGAAATTTACTAACTTTGACTAAAAATCTTTGCTTGCAAGGTGTTCAATTTTTTGAGAGCTTATTAGTAGGGCCCACCGATATAAGATTTTTGAGGCCAATACAGGGAAAATAAATAAATAAAGATATATCAGCCGATATCTTTCTCAGATGATCGATCTGTAGAGATATATATAGATATAGACATTTATTGAGTTGATCCCTCAAACGCAGTCATCAAACACTTGTGGAAGAGATCCACAATGATATGTGAAGATATCATGAAGACAAGATGATCAACTGGAAAGTTACTGTGCATGTACTTGCATCTCATCTCGACACTCTGGAGAGTGATAGTGCTTGTTGTAATCTATATAGTGCCCTCTGCTGGTGAAAGGGAACTGCTGGTATAATCTAATGAAACTCCACTTTTTGACTGATGAATAAATCTAGTTACATCAGCACATATCTGCGATACTTATTGGTTATGATATCAAGATTGCCTTGACTGGCATCAAGTGCTCATCCATACTCAGCTCCATATTAAGAAAGTATCAAGGCCATTACAGATACTAGAATCAGAATCGTTATAACTGTTTTAGAAAGTTGAAGACTGTTGAAGGGATGCCAATGGTGTCACTAAACTGGAAACCTCTGCTTTTACTTAAGATCTTGTCAGTAAAAAAGAAATGAACAGGAGTGGAACTAAGGTGTGTAACTGTTGTAGTCCAGTTAAGAGTTACAGTATAAGATAGGAAACCAAGCTTTCAAGTTCTGTAAATGGCCTCTGAGAGTGGCAGCCCCTTCGCTATAGATGTGGTTGGATAGCGTCTCATCATGGAAAGGGCTTTCTATATTTAGATGCCCTTTCCTTAATGTCAGCTCTGACACCAAACCCTGTAAAAATAGTGGGTGGGTGGTCTGCCCCCATATAGAAAGTGTCCAAGCTGAGAGGTGACAGGCAGTGTGGTGGACATTCATGCGTCAGACGTTGGCGACAGCACAATTGGATTTTCTCCCCGTGATGAAGGGGGTCATCAGATAAGCTTGTGTACAGGTGGGTGAGGTTACACTGTCCTGGACACTCAGCAAGACAAACTTAGGTGTAAACTTACTCAGTTACTATATAATGAGGAATTTAGTTTTCTTTTTTTCTATTGGACCTGATAAAAAAAAAACTGAAAGACTGATATTCAAAACTGCTATCATTAAATCAAAACCTGAAGGTGGTCAGTGTTTTTACTGTTAAGACAGCAAGAAGTTGGAAAAGATGAATAGAAAGGGGAGTAAATAAAGCCAAAGAGCTCTTTTTTCATGGTCCTTAGTCAACATTTCTTCATATAAATTTGAGTCAGGTCCGCGGTCAACAGTTTTCATGAAAAATGTTGTTTGGTCCAAGATGAAATTTGGTGTCAGGTCCAGTTTTTCATGAAAACTTTTGGTTAGGTCCATGATCAACATTTTTTCCTACAAATCTGAGACGTTTTTCCTGAGATTTTCAGCCTTTTTCCTGACTAGAGATGACGATTGGTCTGATTAATTTGAATTTAATGTAAATTGAAATGTTGTGAATTAAATGACCTACCATTGAAGCTCGTTGCCCAGTCTCTCTGAAGCATCCTCTGGGAGAACTTTATACATGTCATCTTCATCCAACTTTTTCTTGTAGCCAACTTTGAACAAGGGATTCAGCCAGCTGGTGATAAAGCAAATAAAAGTGCTTTGTGTCAAAGAAATCTCCCCTAGCCCATAGGTGTGCTTCACTTTGCCTGATGTAAATAAACAAACAGAAACAAACATTAACCAAAGTGTTTGAGCTTGTTGCTAGACGACCTGCTATCACATGCTGTCCAGTCAGTCCACAAAGGTTCAAATGTCACACATGAGAGCTTTAAGTTCAATACATGTCAAACACGGCTGTCACTTCTAGCCGGTTTCCTTACCAGAAGAAAATCTTGGAGAGAAGATTAGCTGAAGCCAACGGATTATCCTTCCCCTCCCTCCGCAGAGTCTCCATGCCCCCCTAAAACCGTTAAAGAAACCTGGAGACTTTCTTTGCAGGCTTGTGGCAAAGGAAGGTCGATAAAAGCTCAGAGAAAGAAGGAGAGAATAGAGAAGCAACTGTTAATTCCAACGTCAGTAAATATTACACCTACCAGACATGCTGGAGAGGATTACTACGCATAGCCGGTGTCGCTGTCAGGTGAACTCGCCGCTGTGTAGCCCCGCCCACCAAGCGATGATTGGCTTACAGGAGTCTCCATCACTTCCTAAACTACTTCGGTCATAAGGTCATGAACTGTAGCCTTTTCCACTCAAATCAATCGGTACTTAAACAAAAACGTATATCTTTTTCTTATCAATGAATCAATTATTTTCTTTGTGACACTTTGAAATGTTTCAGATAGTGTTTCACAAGTAGCCTATCACATACATAGAATGCAGAATTATACTGTATGGAAGGATATAACATTTTATAAAATTCAAATTTTTTTAAAAACATTTACCTGTAAGAATCACTTGAATGTATAATCAATTGTGTCTCTTTTTAAATGTAAAAAAGGTTATAAAAGTTTGACTGCTGGGTTTTACTTGACCATTTTCCCTCTTTTTCTGTCCTTCCTATTTGTAAAGATAAATATGAATACATCTTAATTTAAAACAATTTTCTTTATTTTTTATTTTTTTATTTTTTTGTTGGTGCCATACTTTGTCTTTTATTGTTTATTTTCCATTTGTGTATTGGGTGCTGTTGCATGTGCATGTTAAACAATTTTCACAATTTTCTTTATTTAACTGCAGCAAAGCCTACAATCTAATGATGCAGGTTTGACTAAATATGCATACACCTTGTTCTCTGACTTTTTTCACTTCTGGAAACTCCAAACTGTATTTAATCTTGTAGATAATTTATGAATAATCAGTGTTTTCAGAATTTAACTTTTAGAGACTAAATTAACTATTTTGGTTATCACATGAGTAACTGTTAATTATCTTTTTATTGTTTTACTTTTAAATTAAAATCAGTGATATTTAGTACACAGCTCCTCTTCTTTTTTTTACTTCCTACCTTATGTCTTGCCTTTATTGTATCACAAAAGAGGGGGTGTTCTCAAATAAAAGGAATAAAAGCTTCATTACAGTCCTGTATGCAAGTTATTTGTACACATTTTATATATCTATTTGTTATGAACTTTACGCATCTTTCCACCAGTTTTTCAACGAGACCCTCAAGCTAATCTTTACACCTGATTCAGCTCAGATTATATCCTGTCTTTTAATAAATCGTCTTGATTTCTGTCAAAGTTACCTGTTTTCCTTTACCTACCTTAAATATAATATATTTTCATAATTTCTGAGATCAGTAAAAAAAAAAGGATTAGAAACCACAACATACATTTTCACATATGAGCTGGCAATGATTAGTCATTTGCTAAATATTTTGCACAGCAATAGATGAACCAGTAGCTGGACCTTGCCACATTGCCTCTTGTTTTTAGGATTATTTATTATTCTTTTTTATGTTAATATGAAACTCGGCCTTATTATGTGACCAAAACATAGAGCAATTCCTACTCTTCTTCCCAAATTTAATGACTAAATGCCAACTCATGCTTCCTCCTGACACATGTGTCCATCCCTCACCACTGGAGACCAGGAGAGATATCTGTAAATCATCTCATTGAAACACATGTTCACAGAGTAATTTACCTGCCTGGAGCGAATGTCTTCTTGAATCTTCTAGATAAACTAGATACATATCCTAAATCTCCAAATGTCAGTCCGTCAGATACTGGCTTTTCTTAGCAGCTTGGCTGGTCTGGGTGCAACAATTACTGCCACAGTGTCCAATGAATGGAGGGCCACGAGCCAGGCATCCTCAGTCATCACAGCCACCTGGGTGCTCCAGGGTCTGTGGAACAACTGTGCGGGAAATGCAATCGGAGCGCTTCACTGCAGACCTCATCACACTATACTTCAGCTGGAAGGTAAGCACAGAGAGCCAGAGTTCAAAGCAACCGTATTCAGGATGTGGATGTCACATTTTTATCTTACACCTTTCATGGCAGCCTTTGCACTAACATTTAGCAAGGTAAAGTATTATTCAGTGTAGGTGCCAGAGTGTAACATGAATATTCTTCACAACAAAAACAAAGGCATCACATGTGATGTATAAGAGCTACACTGCAGCCAGTTGTCTGAATTGGCAGATACATTTGGTTCATACATTATGGAAGAAGTAGCAACACTTGAACATTGATTCTCATTATGTAACTTGTCACTTTTGTGAAGTGTCTTATTAATAAAGTCGTTTTTGGTGATAATCTTGAAATATATAATTGAAATGAAATAGAATATTTTGGTTGATAACTTTCACAAAGATATCCTTATATGTTGTTCATCATTGATTATCTATAGAGGTTAGTGTTTCAGTCTTTCGTTAAAACATCTGATTATCCTTTAAATTGACTCAGACTTCAAATCTATAATCTTTGTTTTCTTCCAATGTTTTCTTTTTTATCAAACTGGTTTAAGTTATACCTGTTCTGTAGATCACATTAAATCATTATCTTTGACTATTATTGCCACTTAGATATGACAAAAAATGTTTTTTTTGTTTTTGTTTTTTAATTCAAATGTTCCTTTAAGGCTGACAAAAGGGAAAGAAATCATTTATCCTGAAGATTATGGCTCACGTGTTAACTTGAACTGGCAAATGTTTAATCCTTTGCTGGAAATGTCAAACTGAGTGTTTGAAGGACAGAAAATGTAATAAAAAAGACGAAAAGGGCCATAAAGGAAGAAAATAATAGTCAACCTTCACTCAATTCATAGCCTTTAAAATGGTATACTAGTTGGTATTTACACCATTTAATGTATTTGTTCATGTGTTGGCTAGATACATCTCTTGGGTTGCTTGATTTTTCTAATTGTCTGACATGAGAAAAATAAGTTCTTTTTCAATCCACTTTATTCAGAAACATGTTGTAATGTGTCACATCTGAAGAGTACTTAAAGCTCTTCAATTCCATCTGGTGGTGACAGCAGTGTGATGGCATCATCCGTACATGTAACCACTAGATAATAATAATAATAATAATAATGCATTTTATTTATAAGCGCTTTTAAAAACTCAAAGACACTTTACAATGGTTAAAACATAGATGGAGCTCTAACTCACATTACCAGAGTCTGATGGATTTGGTGCTTGGGTGTGATTCACCTTTTTGTTGGTTTCTGTTTGTCACTTATTCCAAATGATCTTTTTGATGCATCACTTTCGTAATTATAAACCTATTTTCTCTGCAACATAACAGCAATGTTTTTTTCAAGCAGATGCTTCACAGTTAATGCTGTGCTGTTAATGAGTTATCTAAATCCTGGTATTTGTGGTCTATGAGGAAGTTCAAGCACTCTTGTTGTTCATTCATCATGTGTGGAGTGCAAGGTGAGAGGTAGAATGTGACACATTCACTCCACCTTATAATTTCTCAAAATTCATCTCTGTTTATTCTTGGGAACATTTTCTTTACTCAATTATTTGTTTATCAGTTTATTTGTCAGGGACAATACATGAAGGCATTGTAAAATATAATTAAAGTGCAACTGATGCAATGTATATATGACTTCTAGCCACGGCATAATTTACAGTCCTTGTCCCTGATTAAGCTTTTATAACATGTTCCACTCTGGACATTTTAAGGCAAGAAATTGACAAAATAATGAAATCACCTTACTATTATTATTATTATTATTATTAATAATAATAATAATAATAATAATAATAATAATAATAATAACTTTATTTATATAGCACCTTTTAAAAACACAGGTTTAAAAAGTGCTTTGACAAACAGCAAAAACAAGGAGAACAAAGCAAACTAAAGCAAACACAGAAGAACATAAACAACAGCAAGAACATAACAGATGCAAAATACTAAAAATAATTCAACACAATTCAACAGAAAAGAACCCATAGTGCACGATACCCAACAGACATATATAACCCGACCATCACAAGAACCATCATAAGAACCCAGGAAAAACAAGAACCCAACAACACGAGCTGAGACCAAGAGGACCAAAGATTTAAAAAGAAACTAAAAGAGCTAAAAGCAAATAAAAAGATAACAGCAATAAGAAGGTAAGAGCAGTAAAAGAAATATAAACAAGTGGTTAAAGGATCAAAAAAACAACAACTATAATATTAATAAAAATGAAAAGTAAATATAAATATAAAACATAAATAGACAAAGTAAGTAAGATAAAAAATGACCAAGTTAAAACATAAGAGGAGTTAAGATAAGAGCATAAATAAAGAGCATAAATAAAAGGACAGTAAGAAGTAAGTAAGACCATAACATAAAAGCAAGTCTGTAAAAGTATGTTTTAAGAAGAGATTTCAAATAATTGAGGGAATCTGCGAGTCCAGAAAAGAGGGAGTTACAGTCGTCAAGTCGGGAGAAAATGAGGGCGTGGATGATCTTTTCAAGGTCTGGTTGGGTTAGTATTGTTTTAAATTTGGAGTTGGTGCGTAGATGGAAGAAGCATGATCGGACAACTGTTTTGATATGGGATTCAAAGGTGAGATTGCAATCAAATGTTATTCCTAGATTTCTGGCGGTGGGTTGGACATTGACGAATAATGGACAGAGGCTGCTCTTTGAAATATGAGTGGAGTTTGGCGGGTTGAATACGCCACAGGAAATGTTAGAGGTAGAGGAGGAGTAGTTACTGATGGTGACCGCAAAGGTTCTTTCTAAAAGATAAAAGTAAAACCAGTTAAGTGCAGTATCCTTTAAACCAACCATTTTCTGAGACGATTAATTAAAATTGTGTGATCAACAGTATCAAAAGCTGAGCTAAAATCTAAAAGAATTAAAATTGTGCCCTCCCCTCTATCTGCTGCTAAAAGAATGTCATTGGTTACCTTGAGGAGTGCCGTCTCTGTGCTGTGACAAGCTCTAAAACCGGATTGGAATTTCTCAAAGAGGTTATTTTCAGTCATAAAAGATAAAAGTTGTGTTGAAACCACCTTTCTAAAACTTTTGATAAAAATGGAAGTTTTGAGATTGGTCTAAAATTGTTAAAATCAGTGGGTCGGGTTTCTTTAAAAGTGGTTGGACCACAGCATGTTTAAAAGCAGAGGGGACTACACCTTCCGCCAAGGAACTATTAATAATGGATAAAAAAATAATAATTTCAGATAAAAAGGTCAAGGACATCGGCTCAAAACCGCTAAAATAACTGTTAAGTTCCCTGCTGGTGTCTAAAATACGGTCTGGGGGGGTGATTTGTTGCCTAATGTCCTTGACTTTATTCATAAAATAAGTTAAAAACTTCTCACACAGATCCTGAGAAGGATCAGTAAAATAAGAAGGGGAGGGGGTGGTGATTCATTCTAAAACTTTAAATACAATTCTGGGGTTAGACTGATTGGATAAAATCAGATTAGAATAAAATGCTGCTCTTGTGTCTTTAACTGCCTTTTGGTATTGTTTCATTGTATTTCATAAAATACATGCAAGCCTGTTTTTTTCCATTTTCGTTCTTTCCTTCTGCAGTCTCTTTTTAGATCTGGGCTTTATCCGAATTGCCAAGTAACTACTCAATCTGTCAGTAGGCAGTAGGCAGTACCTACTTTCCATGCTGTATACTGTTTAGTACCTACTATTCAGTAGGCGCGCACAGTAGGCAGATATTTGTTCCTACTTTGTCTGATTCATTCAGTATGGAAGTGGCGTCATTTATGTGACCTGAACCTGCCACATCCACCCGTTTTTTTTTAGCTTTATTTAAGAGGAGTAATGTGCATACAGTCAGGTAAAAAAAAAATATCACAATGTCAATCAAGAAAAAGACAGATTAAATAACTAAATAACATACAGTACATAAAGGAAAGTACAAATGAAAGACAGTAATAAACAGAATATAAAGTAAAATAAACCAATAAAGACGGATTTAATAGTGAAATCATTATTTAAATAGAGGGGAAAAGGTTTTATAATAATGCAGATATTTGTTATATTTTCTGTTGTTAATTAAAAGTAGCGATTTCAGTCGGGACTTTAATTCTAGATCAAAAATTGATTCAATTAATCCATGCTCGTTTGTTTTGATTTGGAGGCAGACGTGAAGTGACGATTTACGTTTAATTCCGCACAGAATTGTGGGCGGTAAAATACAATTAATTTCCTGAAAGCACACATCCAATCCATATTGCATGAAACCAGGAAGTGATTATCCATACTGAAATGTTCAGTATACTGAGGTGGCTCCCAAAAAATGCATACTGAATGACCACGAAAGTTCAGCATACTGAAACTCCCTACTGAAAAGTACGTACTGCCTACTGAACTGTGGCTATTCGGAAAGGGCCCCCGAGTCAGTTCGTTTAGCCATGGCTGTGGAGTCTGATGACGGCCTCCTGCAGCATTTTCTGGCGGTTCTTCCCAGTGGCCGAGTGGCGGACCTCTCGACCAGAAGAACACGCTGCAGGTGGAGGTGAGGTGGCAAATCCATGTGGAGCCGGGGCGGAGTGGCGAGTAGTTCCATTTACGTTCGGTGCGGGAGTGCGCGCAGCGGCAGCAGAAGCCTCCTCCAGTCCCAGGCCGACTGGAGCCTCGTCCTTCAGCAGCGTGAAGCAGTTGTGGAGGGCCATCCGGGGTTGCGGAGGGGCCAGATGGTCCATCTTCCGCCTGCAGCGCACCACGTCGGTCCAGGACTGCTCGGGCAGCTTTTGAGTGGAGCTGTGTACTGGGGCCAGCAGCCTCTTTGCGGAAGACTCTTTGATAGTACACTGGCCATCTGTTGATGTTTAAGGCCAAACTCCTCCCTGCAGTATATAAGAATCCACAAAACATTAACAATCAATCACAGCCTATCCATTGAACTTACTAGTGCAGAGCCTAAGCTTCACTAACCAGCGTCCATTCATCAGTTTTAGGTCAGCTCTCACCAACTGGTCATCACCTCTCTGGAGTATGAGCAGCATGATTCAGGAGATTTTTGCCTTTATAGTAACAACCTCCAGTTGGGTGCTCGTTTGCTCCACCTTTCCGACAAACTACTGGAAGGTGTCTTCTGTTGATGGAAACGTCATCACAACAGCTTCCTATTGCTCCGATCTTTGGAAGACCTGAGTCACTGATTCAACAGGAGTTTCCAACTGCAAAGACTTTCCCTCCATGCTGGCACTGGATGGTCAGCTTTTTTCCTCCCTCATAAATGGATCCTTGGCTTTTCTGCCTTTCCCTGTTTTTATTTTTTTTAACAGTTTGGTCAACATATTTTGTGTTGTTTGCTTTTCATTTACTGCTCAATGTGAAGACCAGTGCTGATTCATCCACAGTTTTTAAATCTTTACCTCGGGTCCTTTTCTCTCTGAAATGTGCTCAGAATATATTGAGAGTATATAAGAGAATCTCATTGTTTTCTGATGAGAAATAGATATCCTAGAATGGCAATTCTTTGAGCAAGAACTCACTTACATCCAAATACTGTCAATGGTTAGCCTTTGTTCTCAGACCTTGAAAGCACCATAACGGTGATTTACTGGGACCCTTGGGCTGTTTCCTCAACAGCTGACTCGTTTCATTGCTTGACTTTGTCAGTTAATATTTCTTTTCAAATCACCTTTAATTGTTAAGTTATATACCAATATGGTCTCCACATGACCACTAAGTCCCTGAAAACAATTAGCGTAACACCTGACAAATTGTGTTGCTTGCCTTTATGTGTTAAATTTGGTCACAAGGTCAATAACTCATTGACCTTGTGGTATGCGGAGGGGTTAATTTACAGGGTAAGCACAGAATGGAGCCTTTAAAACAGAGTCTTTTAAGTGCCCACAAGTTGAATTAAATTTTATGTTTGCAGGCTACATCCAAGCATGCAAGGGGTTGATGATTGCAGCCATCTGTCTTGGTTTTTTTGGTTCCATATTCGCCCTTGTCGGAATGAAATGCACCAAAATCGGCGGAACAGATAACAGCAAAGCCAGAGTTGCCTGCTTCGCTGGAGTGAATTTTATTCTTAGTGGTCAGTACAGTTGATTGTTCATCTAATTATTCATGATGTGCTTTTATTGGATTTAATCATTTTGTTCTTGTTCTTCTTAGGCCTGTGCTCACTGTCAGCGTACTCCCTCTATGCACACAGGATTTCATCAGAATCTTTCGACCCGATGTTTGTGGCTCAAAAGTAAGAACCATGTGGCTGTTGGGCAGGACTCCTTTAATCTAACTCAACCACTGAATCCACTTTGTCTGGTATGGTATGAGCTCGGAACTGCTCTGTTTATCGGTTGGGGAGGTTCTGTCCTCTGTATCCTCGGAGGCGTCATACTTGTGTGTAGCCGTTATCAGCAGTCACGTTTACAACTCTCTTCCTGCAGGACTCAGGACTGTGGATTAACATTACTTTTACCAAGGAACAAAGGAACTGATCCATGATTTAAGTCTCCCTCTCAGACAGGATGTTATGAACTTTTACAACACCTGGAATAAACAATCGAGCGGAAACAGAACACTCTGCTATCTTCGAATTGACCCCAAAGACATGAACTGTGACCGAAACCAGTCTCTGCAAAGTTGTAAAATTGACCATCTGTTGAAGGACTGCTGAAGAACTGATTTAAACCACAGCTTTTAATTCTGCATCAAATGAACATTTATGTCTTTCTTCATCTAGATATTTGTAATTGTCACATTGAATGTATTATAATCATCTTTTTAAACTCAAAATCTGATCTTCAGAATAGGAATCAGAGTTATATTATGTTTAATAGGAATTTGACATGGAGCGCGATTGCCATCTAGTGTTAGAATATCCATGAATACGTAACCTTCATAATTATACATTTAGAAGTGTTATAAAGCATACTCTTCGATATTAGCTATAGAAGGTGTTATTTAAAGACACCAATTTATTTTCCTACTTTATTAATATGTCTTATGTTGACCGTATAACATGTTTTTGTTCACCTACAGGCTGGGATTAACTGAGGATGTTCCCAGATGGTTTGATTTTCATCTCAACATGAATCTGATAGAAATGTTTGTCTAAATATATGATGTGAACCTACATCAACGTGGGTCTGATAGAAATAATATCGCAATGAATGTATGGTGACGTATATATGTTTAGATTCTTATTCTTAATCTTATTGAGTAAACTCAGTTTAGTTTAAACAATTGTCGTCCAGTCAGAATGGGAGTCACCCGTGGGCGGGACCCCTCTTTGCCTGCAGACCCACCCTCCTCTCAGCCAGCAGATAAGAGTTCACACTGAGCTCAGATCTTTGGGTTTTCTTCTTAGTTTTGGTTGAAGTTTAGATCTTCAGCTCTTGCTCGCTTCTCTTCGGACTTCGGTCCAAATCACTTCTTTTAAGTTTGTGCCGTAGAGACGAGTCTCTGCCGAACTTTCTTTTTCACGCGCAATTTTTGGAACATCAATTCTTGCTCAAGCAAGGTTTTTGAACTTTCTTCTCCAAAGTTTTTGCTCTTCAATTTTGAATGCCAATTCCTTAGTTTGGATTCGTCAAGATGGCCATCCGGTTAATCTGAATTGGAAATCGACGTATCAAAAGACTCTTTAATATTTTCTTCCTGTTGGATCCTCTTGGAGCTTCTGAGACGACGGCTGAGACGACGTGCAATCTCCATCCCAGCTGCACACTCCAACGAAGTGTCCAAGGCATCTAATCTGGCCCGTGGACCTCTCTGGGCCTGAAAAGAACCGCTTGCCAGAGACTGAAACGCGGGTTGTGTCTATTCAGAGCCCTCCTTTAAATCCAAATAGAATCCCAAAATACCTTTATCAACTTTTTCTTCTTGACCATTTTCTGATCAAGTCATTCAAACAATACCGCATCTTATCTCATTACTAAATATGTAATGTCAACATACATTATAATTGCATTATCCTGATCACAATAATCATATTCTTTATCTGTTTCATCTATACATTATTGTTTACCCCTTTTATATTACATTTTACACATAAAATTCAGGACTTTGTCTGTGTGTTTTCTTGTTTAACATTTCCAGAACTTCTTTCAAGAAATGAAACTGACTGATTAATTAATTAACTTAGACCATTAAAGTTATTTTCTTCCTTTAACAGGAAGTGGTGCCCCTTCTTTTAATCCGAGGTTAAATAAAGATATAACATCGTAATAATTTAATTATGCTACATTTGCTTCTCCATCGCAGATTCTTTCTCAAAAAGGTTTCATATGAGTAACATATAAGTTGAGAAAATGTCAATCTGACATATGAATCAGTGATATTTGAGGATGAATCTATTTTCTGTCTTTTTACAGGCACAGTCAGGCCGAAATATATGCAAAGGGGCTGCCCCCCCCCACCCCACAGGTCCCTCAGGTTCAATAAAGTATCTCTACAATTCACTTGGCAGATGCTTTTATCCAAAACGACGTACATCAGATGGTAAGTACAACACAAGCAAGGATCTAGAAAAAAGGGAACAATGTCAGTAAGAGCAAACGATCAGCTTTGAGTCCGATTGGACACAGGTGCTGACAGGCATTGCACAGAGGCAAAGCACAACATTGACGGCAGTTCTTGAGAGCTCTAATCAGTATAGAAACCATCTTATAAGTCATTTTCAAACCAGAATCACTCTGCAGATCGAATGAATGGAATGAATTTGGAAGTTCATTCCACCACAGGGGGGCGACAGAGGAGAAGAGTCTAGTCAGAGACTTAGGACCTTGTTGTGAAGGTTGGATCAGACGCCTTTCATTGGCAGAGCGTAGTGGCTTTAATTGAGAGATGTGGAAGGTTGGATGAATCCTGAGAGATTGAGGGAGCCTGAGGTGAACAGTCTTCACTTCAAAAGACCCAATAAACCGGGGAGCGAGTTTCTTGGAAGCCACACTGAGAAAAATGTCCTTTGAATTCAGCCAAACCTTTTGACCCGGTCTATACACAGGAGCAGGTATCAGTTGCCGGTCAGCCAACCTCTGATTCTGTTCACGGGTGCACAGGAGCACAGCTCTGGTCTCCCTCCAGACTCTGCGGATCCTGCGCAGGTTGTGCTGAACCGACGGTACAGCGATCTCGACTTCCTGGACTGGGAAGAGAGATGGTAAATAACCCAATGATGCTTCAAATGGTGTCATACCTGTAGCCGGAGAGGTCAAAGAGTTGTGGGAATATTCCACCCAGGTGAGCTGTGTGCACCAAGAGGCTGGATTACGGGCACAGACACACCTCAGCGCCGCCTACAAATCCTCATTAGCCCTCTCAGTTTGGCCATTGGTCTGGGGGTGGTGACCCGACAACAGGCTTACAGTAGCTCCCAGTGCCCGACAAAACTCCCTCCAGACGTGAGAGGTGAACTGGGGACCCCTGTCCGACACGATATCCAAGGGAATGCCATGGATGCGGAAAACATGGTTCACCAACAGATCCGCAGTTTCAGCAGCAGAGGGCAGTTTAGGAAGGGTCATGAAGTGCACTGCTTTGGAAAAGCGATCCACAATAGTTAATATCGTGTCTTTACCTTGGGAAGGTGGTAGACCCGTCACAAAATCCAAAGCTATGTGGGCGTCCTCTCCCAGGCACTGGGAGAGGACGGAGGAGGCCAGCTGGCGGGCGATGAGAAGCCTTTCTTCTTGCACAGACCGTACAGGCCTTGACATACTCACGGGTGTCTGCCGTCATGGTGGGCCACCAGAAGTGATGTTGGAGCAGGGTCAGGGTGCGAGATGTTCCCGGATGGCAGGCAACACCACTGAAGTACCACTGAAGTACCTGAGGACAGAAACAGGTACAAACAAACGATCCGGGGCCCCCCCACCGGGATCAGGGTTAGTGGTGAGGGATTCAATACATTCTTACTTCCGGCCGGTACGTGAGGGTAAACTTAAACTTGCCAAAAAACTGGCCCACCGGGCTTGGCAAGAGTTGAGACGTTTTGCACTTTGAATGTAAGCAAGAGTTCTGTGGTCAGTCCATACCATGAAAGGCGTTGCAGCTCCCTCCAGCCAATGTCTCCATTCCTCCAGGGCCAGTTTGACGGCCAGCAACTCCCTGTGGCCGACACCGTAATTCCTTTCTGCCGGTGATAGTTTCTTGGAAAAGAAAGCACAGGGGTGTAACCTGCAGCTCTTTGTGACAGGACAGCTCCCACACCGATATCTGATGCATCCACCTCCACAACGAACTGGCAAGAGGGATCAGGCTGTACCAGGATGGGGGCTGTGGAGAACCGCCTCTTGAGTTCCCCAAATGCCTCTTCTGCTGCAGGTGACCAGACAAAAGGAACAGACAGTGAAGTAAGCTTAGTCAACGGGGCTACTACCTGACTATAATTCTTCACAAAACGACGGTAGAAATTTGAAGGAAATTTGCCTGTTCTGGCAGGCTGTCAACCAACGATCTTGAGGAGCCTAAGAGAGCTCAAGAGCTCCCAGGAAAGTAGGTGGTTAGTGACTGAGATTTACAGATAGATGCAGTAATATGATGTACTGTATGTGCACAGAGAGAGAGAGAGAGAGAGAGAGAGAGAGAGGAGCTCAAGGTGCCAGTTCCCCTGGTAGTCTAAGCCTATAGCAGCATAACTAAGAGCTGGTCTACACCAGCACCAGCCCTAACTATAAGATTTATCAAATCTAGAAGGCTGTGAGATGTGTTCAATTGAACCGGCTAGAAGATGATTCCAGAGGAGAGGAGCCCGATAACTGAAGGCTTAACCTCCCATAGTACATTTAGAGACTGTAGGTACCACTAGTAGGCCTCCATTCTGGGACCGTAATGTTCTCGAGGGGCAGTACGGCACTAGTAGCTACTTAAGATAAGATGGTGCCTGGCCATTTAGAGCTTTGTAAATGAGACGAAGGATCTTGAATTCTATTCTAGACTGTATAGGGAGCCATTGCAGAGAAGCCAACACAGGAGTAATGTGGTCCCTTTTCCTAGTACTAGTCAGTACATGAGCTGCAGTGTTCTGGACTAGTTGAAGAGTCTTTAGAGACTTACCAGAGCACCCTGACAAAAGAGAGTTACAATAATCCAATCTGGAGGTAACAATGCATGAACTAGTTTTTCTGCATCATTTTGCGACAGGATATTCCTGATCTTGGATATATTACGAAGGTGAAAATAGGCTGTTCTTGAAATTTGCCTGATGTGAGAGCTAAAGGACATATCTTGATCAAATAGAACTCCTAGATTCCTAACAGTGGTGCTAGATGCCAGGCTGATGTTATTAAGGACAGTCAAATCACTAGAAAAAGTCTCTCTGAGGTTTTTAGGGCCGAGCACAATAACTTCAGTCTTGTCTGAGTTAAGTAGAAAAATATTTCTGGTCATCCAGGTCCTAACGTCCTTAAGGCACGTTTCTAGCTGACATAACTGACTGGTGCCATCGGGCTTCATTGATACATAAAGCTGAGTATCATCTGCATAACAATGAAAGTGTATGGAGTGTTTCCTCATAATATTTCCCAGAGGAAGCATATATAATGTAAAGAGAATTGGTCCAAGCACTGAACCTTGTGGGACTCCATGGCAAACTTTGGTGTGCATAGAGGACTCATCATTAACATGTACAAACTGAGATCGGTCTGATAAGTAGGATTCAAACCAACTTAAAGCAGTCCCTGTAATTCCAAGTAAATGTTCTAGTCTGTATAATAGGATCTGATGGTCAATGGTGTCAAAAGCAATGCTAAGATCTAACAAGACGAGCACAGAGAGAAGTCCCCTGTCTGAAGCTAGAAGTAGATTGTTTGTAACTCTAACTAGTGCAGTCTCAGTGCTATGGTGGACTCTAAATCCTGACTGAAACTCCTCAAATAAACTGTTGTCATGGAGAAAGTCACACAACTGATTAGCTACCACTTTCTCCAGGCTCTTCGAGATAAAAGGAAGGTTGGATATAGGCCGATAGTTAGCCAGTTCCTGAATCTAGAGTAGGCTTTTTAAGTAGAGGTTTGATTACCGCTACTTTAAATGCCTGTGGTACATAGCCTGCCAGTAAAGACAAATTGATCATATCTAATATAGAGTTGCTAACTAAGGGAAAGACTTCCTTAAACAGCTTGGTGGGGATTGGGTCTAAAAGACAGATTGACGGTTTCGATGCAGAAAAAATGGAATATAGCTCTGAAAGGTCGATTGGAGAAAAACAGTCTAGACTAATATCTGGTCCTGGAACTGTCTCTGCCGTATCTGCACCAGGTAAGGGCAGGAGGTTACTAATTTTGTCTCTGATGTCTAGAATTGTGTTGTTGAAAAAGCTCAGGAAATCATTACTGCTGAGGGCTAAAGGAATACAAGGCTCAATGGAGCCATGACTCTCTGTCAGCCTGGCTACAGTGCTGAAAAGGTATCTAGGATTGCTTTTGTTTTCCTCGATTAGAGAGGAGTAGTAGGCAGCTCGAGTGTGACGTAGAGCCTTCATATATTTTCTATGACTATCCTGCCAGAATAAACAGGATTCTACCGTTTTGGTCGAGCGCCATATTCTTTCAAAATTCTGCGACGATAGTTTGTGTTGTCACCCGATCACAAATGAAAATCCTTACAGATATGGCTGCTAGGGTTGAGGAGGACACGGTAGCCAAAGCATCTAACCCAGAGAAAGCTTTCCCCGTTGACTTAGCAGATATAGTCTTTGCCAAATGGTGTGGCGTGGATCAGCTGCCTGTGTTCAGCAGAGAGACGTTGGTTACAGAGCGGAAACAGGACCCCACTCTGCACTCTCTCAGGGAGACAGCTGTATCTTTGGAGGAGAGTGCAAACATGGTGGAGGGGTTTTATTTACCAGATGATGTGCTGGTTGCTGAAGATGTCAGTGAGGAAGCGGAAACTGTTGGGTTCCGGCTGAGAAACTCTGAGGCTCTTAGGTCACTTGATGACCAACTTGGGCATCTACCTGCAGAGTGTCAGAGTCAGATATCAGCTCTGTTGGCCGAGTCCTCCCCCCGTTCCAGGATATCCCAGGGTGCACGTCTCTAGCGGTGCACGATGTGGATGTGGGCAGTGCGTTGAGATCTTGTGTTGACTACAGGAAAGTGAACCAGCAGACTGCTGTGGCTCAGTTGGAAGAGTCGTTGCCTCTCAACCGGAAAGTCAAGGGTTTGATCCCCAGCTGGGCAACATGTCTGAAGTGTCCTTGGGCAAGACACTTAACCCCAAATTGCTCCCACTGCTTTGGTGGTGGTGTATGAATGGGATTAGTTACTTCTGATGGATGATACTACATAGCGACCACTACCATCAGTGTGTGAATGGGTGGGTGTGACATGCAGTGTAAAAGTGCTTCGAGTAGTCTGAAGAATAGAAAAGCGCTATATAAGCTCTAGTCCATTTATCATTTACTAAGGCTGATGCCTTCCCAATTCCCAGACTTGAAGACTGCGCATAGACAGGATCGGAGGAGCAGAGGTTGTTTCTAAGTTAGATCTACTGAAAGGCTATTGGCAGGTGCCTCTGACTCCACGGGCTAGGGACATTTCAGCCTTTGTGACACTGGAAGGTCTGTATATTTGCAATGTTCTTCCGTTTGGCATGAAAAATGCTCCCGCTACTTTTCAGCGGATGATGAATACCATTACTCAGAGGAAGATGAGATAAACTGATAGTTTCGTTATAATAGCAGAGGTATGTGCCTTTTAAAGTAAAGGAAGTGCATGAATGTGTGTGAGAGCTTTACCTCTTGAAAGTTAAAGGAACAGTTGAGAAAAAAAATGGGAGAAAATATGAAGGAAAAAAATGGTTGGTGTCACAATTTAGTAGTGTTTTTTTAAATTATTTTATGGGGGGAGGGATGTTATGATAATGTGTTATGAGGATTCACTTGAGGGTCTTTAGCGGTAGGCGTGGTTAGTAAGAGGAGAAGCAGGGTCAGTACTGATGACACACCTGAGGGGGTGTGGTGGCTCTGTAATCTTCATTAGCAGCACCTGTGGAGGAGCCGGAGGGAAATTGGTTTCGAGTCGAAGAGACGCCACGAGGACGCAGACACCTGAGACTGAATCTACAGTAATGTTTGTTTTTGTTTCAACACTTCATGGGTGCTTTTTGCAAATGAACTAAACTGATATGAAAGAGAGGAGAGCTGGTGGAGGAGATCATACCCCAA